GATGCGAAGATGTCAGGATTGTCGCTAATGAACTCGGAAATCTTGTGACCTCGAACATGCTCGAGATCAGTGCCGACAACATCGGTCCAAGAGGGGCTGACCCAACGAATATGGCCATCCAAACTGAGATCAAGAATAATGTTCCGGGTTTGTTCGGCCGCCTCTTTAAGCTCCTGGGTGCCTTCCTGGATATCCTGACTGAACGACCTCTCCATCGCATGCCGAGTCATGTCGTTGCCATAGCCCTCGGCGTTCTTGATGGCCGTGATTATCGGCGGCTCCAAGTATTGTTGTTCAGCTCCATCCTGGGCCATTACTCCTGGTACAGGAGGAACAGTCCTTGGAGGACAAGTCGTGGACGGAGGGGACAAGGACTGGGGAAAGGGCAGAGTCCTTTATGACTTTTGACCCACCATGGAGCCAAAAAGTCCCCCGTTATCTTGACATCTCTGGCGGAGTCGTCAAGATGATCCGGAGCTGTTGCGGATAGAGAGGAGAGCGTCGAAGGAGGAGGAGTCGAACGAGTGTTCTGCGTGCGTGTCGAGGGTCCGAGGGGAACGGTTGAGGAGAGGGCTTTGTGGCGCTTCACGCGAGGAGAGCGGCGTGTTTTTTCTCTCTCTGGGGGTTTGTTGGAGGACAAAGGCGAAGACGACTACATCAGAGGTAGAGGGAGACAAGGAAACGGCCACACATTGGCAGTCGAAGTAACGAACGATTGTGATAATTTGTCAAGGGAGAAATTTGGGCGAGAGGTGATTGAAGCTGCGATGTGGTAATGGAGGAGCGGAAGGAAATACAGCGCCAAAGAGAGAAACGCTCAGTTGGTGCCGCCGCTGGGATATTATTTTTTGCAGCCAGTAATCGAAGGGGTTCGTAGGGAAATAGTGGGACGGTTGGCGAAGGGTTAAAAGGTAGGCACTTGCAGGGTAAAGGCACAGGGCAGCTGGGTGGTCTGAGAGGATCCCTCGTAAGGGTGTCTCCCTTGTTAACTTACAAACCGTGTGAGGATTGGGGGGAAGGGTGGGAGCCAAAGCGCCTCCAACCTACCACATTGCAACAGATGCTTTCTACTGGCTGCACCCGGGCTGCAGATGCCGGTGATCTTGTTAGGGCGGTTTAGGGGGTGGGGCTCGCTTTCAAAGCATCGAGGCACCCAAGAAGAACCCAAGAAGCAGCCCCGAAGACTGTTCCCAAGAGCCAAGGCAAGGGCCCCCAGAGCCCTTTGTGCAGCTGCGTGTCAACTCCAACTCCAACGTTCCCCTTCCCTTTTGACTGCGCTCAGCTAATGCAGACCAGTGCGTTATTCCTGTCGCCGTCTCACCAATAACACCTTTTTGCTCACCTCTCCTCATCGGCACATCGAGTTCAGCAAACCACCGCTAAACAAAGATTAACTCAACATCCTTCCTAGTCCATGCTAGGATCTCTTGTCTTGCTCATCCAATGCCATGTCTGTTTCTGACCTGCAACGCCGGCACCTGGCACACGCTGCCTCTGGAAATACCTGCCTGTGCTCCCCCCTCGCTCAAAGGCTCCCCTCGATGCCCGCCCTATTGCGAACCCGACAACCCTTTTCGACCCTCATCATCGCGAGCCCATCCACCTGTTCTGACCTTCGTCTGTCTTTGCTGACAATCCGTATTCCTGCTCGCTCTCACTCAGTCGCTGGCTCGCTCACCTCTCCCCACTTTTTATTTTCTATTCCGTCTGTTTGTTGACGGTTTGCTCGGCTACAGCATAGCCTGCCAGGCCTGCCTAATGCCTTTCCCTTGGTATCTCCCCTCCACCTCAGCAACGGCACAGGCGGGAATAGGAAGGTCTATTGCGTCGACGCGCATAACATCTCCGAGATCACTGACCCGAAGAGAGAGAAAAATTGACATTGTTTCTGATGCAATGACAACACAACGTGGGTGCCCCATTGAAACACCTTGGACAGATGAATAGGGCTGCACCGACCTGCGAAAGCACTTCGTCATCGGCCTCAATCAGGGCCCCGTGGCCATGTACGACACGTGTGCACCCTGGACACTCTGGTTGCCCTCGAACTTCTCGAGACGATGAAACAAACAGGCAAAGACCACTGGTCCAATCACCCCCCTCTTCCACTCGAAGGATGCGTGTCATCTCTCGGGCCCTTGTGCTGCAAACACCCCTTGTGCGACGTATTCCTTCCCACCTCTCGATGCAATCACTCAGATCTCTCATAGTCTTCACAACCTGGTGACGCAGGGTGGTGCAACCATCAGGCCGCGCTACATAGCCTTGTCGATAATAAATTCGGGGATACAAGGATGATGGAAACAAGACGTCCAGGCCGATTTCACAGTGTCTACCGATGCACTCCTTGAGCTTTTCTTTTTCGAGCGTCAACTCGTTCTCCATGTCCAATCCGGAACTACTGCACTCCCTCCATGAAGCAGTTTTGACTTCACAGATGCGGTTACAAGGGCCTCAGCTGACCCGTCACGCCCGTCTCCTCGGTTGGCAGGGTTCAAAAGAGGGCGCCAATCACCTTTGCTATCTCTGGCTGCACTACTGCATGAGAACTGCGTTCTTTTTTTTTCTGGCACAGCAACCCTCGTGCTCTACACTTTTTGTCTCCCCGTGTTGCCGGTGTGTAGTGCTTGAAAAAGCGTCGGACTAAGGATGTACTCTTCTTCCCTTGTTCCCGCTTTCCACACTCGTACAGGGTTAACAATCCTTCAATGGACAAGCCTAGAAGCACCATGGAAATACATTGCACGAGTTTTCCCCAAAGTTTACCACGGGAATGAATCCCTGCCGAGCGCCGCTTCTGACCATGCGTGCCATGACCACATCCGAACCCTGAACTGTTTCATCCCAGATGTTTGTTCTTGAACAAACAGCACGTGCGTCAATTCCGCAACGAGAGCGTTGGTCACCAGCACCACCAAGACGACAGGCGCCGGTGACGTCTGCATTATTCACTGTCACGTCTTGACAGTGGGCGTCGAGTCTCTTGCATACGCGCTGTACTTGGGACTTGCACGTGTAGGTAAAGCTCAGTCAGTCACATATCACTCAGCAGGTAGAATCAACTCTACCCAATGGGATTCCAACCGATGCCGACGGCTGTGCCTATGTATCTTGGTCTTACGGAGTGAGTGAGTACGAAGTACGAAGGATTCTCGGCCCTGGCGATCACCACCCAACTGTAAACAACCAACAGCTTAAATGAATACAAAAGAGTCGTAACCCCGGCAGCTGACTCCCCTGGCATGCAAAAATGTGGCATGGATGATGATGAAGGCCCTACGAACATGCATTCGGAGTAGCGCGTTGCTTTACTTTGCAGCAGCTCTTCTTGGAGAACGCATTTTCGTAAAGGAGAGAGAGGTCTGATATGTGCTAGCCAGCCAGCCAGACGGTGGCTTGGGAATCCAATTCCTGCTCTTTTTTTCCGGGGGGGGGGGGGGGGGGTGGTTGGCTTCGTCTCGCTTCGCCTTGCGGGATCGATACGTACTGATCCCGGAGACCCATGAGTTTGTTCCTCGTAGAAGGACAGGGTTGTTCTCATTCTCGTCCACTTTCTCACCGTCTCATCTGTACAAGTACATGTACTCGCAGGATGTAATTACATACATACATCCACCAAAAGGGAGGAGGGGTATGTCTGTACCTCGTCCTCCCCTTGTCTTGTCTTGTCTTGTCGGCCGCTCAACCGCTCCAACCACTCAGACTGCTGACTTACTGTCCACTGTCCACTGCGCAGGGTCAGGCAGGCAGGTGGCCAGGCAGGATCAGACCCATGATAGCATGCATAGTATGGCATTGCTCTACCCAGTGTGCCAGTGTGCCAGTATGCCAGTGTACCCGTATCAATTTCACTCGGCAGATAATAATACAGACTCGGTACCTCTACCTCATCGCGCAGGGGGAACCTACAGTAAACGCCCTTTTCTTTCAGTCCAAGTCCGATGCAGATAGATGCAGATGAAGATGACATGAAAAAAAAAACAACGAGTACGAGTTTGTCCTTCTCCTTATGGCCGTCAAAACTCCGAGACCAAGAACTACTTCTTCGAGTTTCTTGTCTGAATCTAGTCAGGTTGAGTCAATCAGGTATAAGTGAATCAGGCCAGTCAAGTTCCAAGTCAGCAAAACGCAAAAAGCAAAAAATGTGAGAAGCAAAAGGGGGGGGGAGGGGGGATTTCTCGGAAAATGCCGACTTTTGACCAACGAGAGGGTGGGCATGGGTGGGTGGTATGGTTGTAGAGGATGGGGGAGGGAGTTAAAAAGGCATGTACAGTACAATGTGTACCTTCGTACTCGGGTCCAGTAACTGGCTCGCCGGGCTGGCACTGGTTGGATTACTTTTGTCTCGTACCGGGAGAAAGAAGGCCGAACGGACACAGACAGAGGTACTTGTACTTGGATGTGGGTGAATATCGCTCATGCATGTGCATGCATCCACGGAGGACCATGTCTCCAAACCATGTACCGAATGCCAGGTACATACGCGTTGCCTTTGGCGTGTCTGGTTGGCCCTATCTATCTATCTATCTGTCCATCTTCTATCTGACTTGACTTTACGTGCGTACCCATCTAACTACCTAGTACCTACCGATGGACGGACGATGACTGTTCCACTTACGCCCAAGTACCGAGTACTCATTCCACGAGTGTATCTAGCCACCATTTCCTTCATCCTTTCTATCACTTTCTAGCGAGGCGAGGCGAAGTGAGGGTCGAGGAGTATTTGGCCGACAAGAAAGAGACTCTATATTCTCTCCCTGAGGCCCCCTGCAGGCCCTACAGGGGATAGGTATTATGTACTTGGTACGTAAATGCGCTGTGCACACCAACCGGAAAGATCTGGGTCTATTCTCGCAATCGAACACGTCCAGCCATTTCCCCGGATTCGGACTCCACGGTCCTCTTCGTGCTCGATATACGCCACTCTTGGGCGCTGCGCTGCATTGACACGACATACTGGACATCAAGGCGCTTTGATCATCACATCACCCTCGTCTCGTCTATTGCTCTTTCTTCCACTCGCCGTTCGCCTTCAACTGCTCCTCTTCGTCCCGTTTGAACCACCGCACACTCCTTGCAAACCCCTCGTCAAGTCCGACCACTGGCGCATAACCCGTCCGCTTCATCAGTTTCTCGCACGAGTAATACCGCGAGATGGTGGCGTATTTGACCGTCTGCCGGTTCAACTTGCCCTTTCGGCCTGTCAGGTGGTTGAACAGCTCCGCCGCGCCACCGACAAACGTGGCCAGTGACGTGGGGAGACTGACGACTCGGTCCGCGTTGATATTCCGCCCATAGCGCGAAAAGAGGTAGCGCGACGAGTCCCAGAAAAAGGCCGGCTGGTTGTTCGTGACGTTGAACGCTTCACCGTCGACTTTGTCTTGCTCTGGTGCCCCCTTCCTCAACCCGCCTGCCTGGAGAACCTGCGCCGCACAAAGCAATCCGAAACACACGTTGTGTACGTAGGTGGTGTCGAACAAATTGGCATTGTCCCCCAATTGGATATGTAATTGCCAGTCTGGTGCAACTGATGCCGTCCTGAGAATGGCCCCAGAAAATCCTCCGCGGTCACCTTCACCGACGATGCCAGCAGGACGCACTGCGCAGGTCAACATCTTGCCTCCGTCACTGTACTCCGAATTTGCGTTGGCCTCGAGCACAATCTTCTCTGCATGAACTTTCGTCTCGGAGTAGTATTCCCTGGGATTCGGACACACGTAGGGGTATCTTTCGTCCGCATTGATCAAGTCGGACTCGCCGTCGTGAATCACACTCGCACTCGAAACATGGACAAAGGCTCGGACACAACCGCCCCAGTCGCCGTGTTTCTTCCCGCCAGCGACCTCCAACAGCGTCCGTGTACCGTCAATGTTCACCTTTCGGAGCACCGCCGGAGGGGCTTCCCACGACGGAGACGCCGTGTTGATGACCACGTTGGGTTTGACTTTTCGGAAAACTTCGAGCAGAGAACTCGGGTCGGTGATGTCGGCCGAGTGGTACGTTGCACCGGGGAAAATGTGTTGAGTGCATCTCAAGTCCAGCACGTGGACGGACGTCGAGGTCTTGTCTATAGGAGGGTATCGGCTGCGTAGGGACGGGAAGGAAGAGGGTAGGAGGGTGTTGAGGTCGTATTTCTCGGGATTAGGGGTTGTGGCGCCTTTTGTTCCCGAACGCTGCGGCGGCGAGGCTCCATTGCTCTCTATGTCTGCGTCTTCAGAGGGAAAGTTGAGCAATTGATCCACGAGTCGAGAGCCCAAGAAACCGCAGCCTCCAACCACCAGCACAGTGCCGTAGGATCGCGGCGTCACGTCAACCGCGGTCTCCTTCCTGATTTCCATTCTTTTATGGGCTAAATGTCGACACGATCTAGCTGGTACTGGTGTGAGAGTGGCTTGAGCTCGAATCCGATCTTGAGGAGTTTTTGGAGATGCGCAATGCCCTTCGATCAATGAGCGCAGCCAGCGCAACTGTTCCTGGAAAAGTGGATCGCGTCCCCGGAAGCGAGACGTTCCTCGTGGCGCGCAGCATTACATAATGGTCCAGCCTCGCAGCCTCGCAGCCTCGTGCCTCGTGCCTCGTTACAGCATCTCCAGATCCACCCCGTACAGACATCGACTTGCCCGATAGTTCACGGGGAAAGGTGTAGTGTAGTACAGTTAAAGTCAGACTCAGCTGTAGCGGAAGAGAACTACCATCCTGGAAGAAGCCTTCCACTGTCTAAGTATCTCAGGGCATTAAAAAGCTCACAGCTCGGATGATATTCGCGGCCATGCCCAACGATGCTTCATAATGGCCAGATCCTGCACAGAATACCACTGCTTGTCCGTTGCATGGTTCTGGTTCTTTCAAGTATACAGAGTGTCTCTGTGAGCCCCGACCATCTCCCAACTCCCATGCTTGCTGCAAACAAAAAAACACAACGACCCATAGTTCGCATTCTTCCTTGCGCTTTTTCCATTTCAACCTTGTGTCGTCTCTTATGTTGGACTTCAGCCATGCCATCTAATCGACCTGGATTATGATCAGATCTTGGACCAGATATCTCACTCTATACCCTCCTCAGTTGTCCTCTGCGCCGACCGTCGGAGCTGCCGGAAGTACTTCTTTTTATCACTCTCGCTGCCCCAAAGCAGCTTGGTTGCCTCTGGATGCACAATTGTCCTCGGGTCATAGGGTGGGCTTTCCTCTTCCAACGCCTCGACGATGCTCTCAACGTGATTCCTCAGTTGATCTACCTCCTTGGGAAAGTAGCAAATCACACCGTCCTTGGAGACCCTATGGTGGTAGATGGGTGTTTCCATTTTCGCTCGAGGCAGTTCGGCCGGAAAGCGAGGACTCACTGCAATTCGGACTTTGAAGACGCCGCCATCCAAATGCGTGCTGGGCCTGCCGAAATAGGTCATGATCCAGATGAAGGGATTGTCATTCTCCAGCTCCACATCCACGTTGTGCAGCTTCTTGCGTTTCAGGTAGTCTGACAGCTGTACGAATTGTCGTTGGACTGCGGCCGCCTTGGTCGCCTCTCGATCCCTCAATTCCAGTCCTTCAATCGCCCAGTTGTCGGTTTCGATTCGAAGCACCTCCTTGATGCGCAGCAGTCTTCTTCCCAACTCACTGTACCGGAACTTGCCCTCCATGTTGTTCCCTCCACCTTCAAAAGGCATCTTGACAAAGTCGACGCCATCTTTGTGTTTGGGAGCGTATTCTTCAATGGTGCACATGTAATGTTCAAAGTACCACAGAAACCTTCGCTTGAACAGATCTCGGAATGGTAAGAACTTGAGCTTGATTTGATTCTCAAGGGGATCCTCTTTGAGCTCATCCTCCTCGTCGTCTTCAGAGCTCCATTGCGCAGAATGAGGCGAGGGTGCGGCCAGTGAGCCATCTGGTTGGATGCCCAATGCCTCCTCGAGCCTCTGAATGACTGCAATTCGGAGAGTTTCGTGACGGATCTAGACATGTTGTAAGCTCAACTCCATCCCAGCTTTTGAGGCACAAAGCCGTGCACGTACCTTGGCACAGTACAGGTCATTCATCCTCCTGTCCTCTGTACCTTTTGCGTTCTCGTACCCAGGTTCATTCTCGTAGGGATTGTTACTCATGAGGCTCTGGATCGACCACAACACCGATTCCAGTCCTTGTGCAGAAGACCACTCTTCACCCGGCTTTTCTCCATGCCATGTGCCCAAGATCGACAAGCAGACCTTTCCACTTGCGTAGATGTTTGGATTGAACCTCGTCCGACCAGCATTTGTGGTTTTGGCCTCGACTTTGGGTGGCTTACTGGGATACTCTGAGCCGAAAGTGACGGCGAACTCGAAGAAGCCGAATGCATAGGGAGTACCGTGAGGACCGATGATGAGGGCTTTGACGTGGCGCACGTCTTTCTCCTGGCAAGCGACAGCAATGGCTACAAATCGTGGTTAGCTGAAGATGCCTGGTGTATGTCTTTTGGCTCAGAGGATGAACTTACACAGGTCACTACCTTGTTGGATCTGGGCGATCTCCTGCACACATCATGTCAGTAATATCCTCCCGGTATATAGATACAGCCACCTCTTACCCGAGATATCCTCAAGATGGTCTGATTGGACATTCTGAAGGCGTCAGGGCACGGGCGCTTGAGCAGAGCAGGAGTAGAGTGGTGTCACGTTCAGATTCAGGTTCATGAGCAGCACAGAGAAGTGTCAATGCAGGCGAAAGAGGACTGCAAGTTTGGTCATGTAGAGTGAAAAGAGGCATTGTTTGGTAAATGAGACTTCTTGTGAAAGAGGGTGGGAGGGGCGAGGGGGAACTTTTGGATTTGCGGTTCAAGATGAGGCTGTGTGTCACAAGTTGCCCTGAAGCCTGAAGGTTGAGGTGAATAGTGACTTCCCATTAGAGGATCCCAACTTCGATGGTGCCTGTTTACTGGATCCGCGACACTCTAGCCGGCTAAGCTACAGATCTGCCTTGTAAACCTGCAGGCTGCCACTGGACGGGTGGGTGGCTGGTGCTATAAGAAGAAAGAAAGACCAGAGCTACTCGTTTGTATGAGGACTGGGTGCTTATCGTACACGAAAGAGCTGAGGGGCTTTTGGTGGGGGGCGCCACGGGTGACTACCAGCCACAAGCGCCTAATCGTGTCTACGTAGTGGGGGTGCTTTTTGTTGTCCACAAGGCTGAGAAAGTGCTCAAGACCTTTCAAAAGTATTGCTGCCTGACAAGAAATGATGAGTGCCAATGATCTCACTAGGGGCGCCCCTAGAACTAAGTTACTTGGAGGAGAGGAGCACCTACGGGGGGAACAACTTAGTTGGGTGGAGCCCCCCAACAGCCCACAGAGCTACTGAGATACCCGTAGGTAGATCTCTAACCCCTACAAGTACTAGCCTAGGAGAACTTGTACCTACAAATAGGCACTACTAGAGAATCTGGGCAGTCATATGGAATACCTTCCAGGTTCTTACAAGTTCTTATAATTGCCCGTAGGTAGACTTCCAAACATCATGGAATCTCATCGGTACTCGGCTCCCACCAATAACTCGAGACAAGACCATGTTCGGTAGATATACTGTACATGTACCTCGTACCTAGTTACCTCGTGCTTTCGTCCCAGACCCAGAGTATATACACATTATACACCTCCACGCTATCCATGCCGTTGACATTTGCCTCCCTAAGATTTGATATCTTAAACCATGTTGTAGTGGGTATCATTGTCCTCGTCATCCGTGTTTAGCACTTTTGCCCTTTATGCTGAGATCCAGTGTCTTCTCATGATTGTGACGCTCTATCCGGGGGCGAGGCGCCTCCGATTCATCGTATATGCCGTTATGTGAGTCGTACATGGTCATGGGCCGTTGCCCGTCCGTGCCCATCAAAAGTCGTTTATATCATCAGGGCGTCTCTCTGTTCCAATAATTTTGTTAGCGGTTTCCCACGGACTCAAAATTCATGATGTAACGTGGTCGTATTCCGTCAATGCAAGGTCGAAAATTCAAACCTCCTTCTGCGAGTATCATTCACCTTCTTGCTCGTGGTAACCCTTCGCTGGTCGCGCTGTGCTCATGCTCCAATCGCTTCTCCGTCGACTGTCAGGATCCAGCCCGCCCACATCTCGTCGGCTTTGAGATCGGTCACTTCCTGCTTCTGCAGGTGATGTGTTATTTCCCGCGTGGGACGGCGAAGACTTTGCCGTTTCCACAACCGATAAACCCAGGACTTCGGCATGAACATCAGGATCGGCCAGGTCGGCTGCTGCAAGAGTCCCCTCCGGCGGTGGTCCAGGAATATCTGAGAGAGGGTAAACAAATCCCTCAGGCCTCGTGTCCGGTGGAGGTGTTCCCGCAGCAATGAAGCCGTTGTCTCGTGTATTGTTGAAGAGGTACACATTCTCTTCTGTCAAAGCCAATGTTGTCAAAGGTCCGCCCGCTCCAGAAACCGGTTGGGCTTGATCGGACGAGTGAGAGCTGGGCTCAAACGCGCCATCGACCATGATTGTAGGAGCAATAATACACCGGCCACGATTCAAATCGGTCACCGACAACAACTTGGCGTCCCGGAGTGCTTGTGCTTTGTCCTCAGCCTCGACCCGCCTCATTGTTCGGTCTCCTTCTGTTCCGCCTCCAGGGATCTCCCCGGCAAGAATGGCCCTGGAAAGATTGGATCGGACCGTAGCGGCTTTGGTGTTCACATCAATAGCATCGTCTGTCGGTGCACGCAGCTGTGCATCTGTCGAACTAGGCAGCCGTATTGATGTGCCATTCCGAGCGTAGAACTCAGTGGCAATAGCATCGGCATTGCCACAAATCGATGAGTGGTCGGTGCACCCGCTTCCGAAGGATTGTTTCTGGGGGCCTATGGGAGCTTCTGACCATTCCCGATGCCTGTAACCTTTGCGGGCTCTGGATATCCATTTCAATATAGTTTTCTCCAAGAGAGCCCGTTTGACAGGCTTGGCCATGTAGTCGTCCATTCCTGCCTTCTCACATTTTTCTCGGTCACCTTGAATTGCTGAAGCAGTCATGGCCACAATTGGAATCTTCGCGATTATTTCGATGTCCGTGAATGGTGCATGATGCCTGAGTATATGTGTGGCGTGGTACCCATCCAGTACAGGCATCTGAACATCCATTAATATAAGCGAAGGGATGGGATATTGCTGTGATTGTTCCAAGGTGAGGTCGGGCGAGGTGGCTTGAAGAAGATACTCTAGAGCCTCTCTGCCATTCCACACAGCAATAGCAGAAAACTTCAGAGCTTTGATGAACCTGAGGGCAATTTGCTGGTTCACAGGATTATCTAGATTTGTCAACTTCAAACCCAAGCGTTGTTTCTTCGACATTGCTTACCTTCCACAACGAGTATATGTATCTGATCTCTCTCAAGCTCGGGGACAGGAGTTTCGATCCCCGAAATGGACAACATCGCCTGAGTGTGATCACCACCTACACTCATATCTCCTAATGACCTGGTTAGGGCGAGAATCTTCTGATGTTTCCGAGTGTCTTCTTTTGATGAATCCTTGGAGCAAGACAAGTCGGCGTGCAAACGGTCAGGCATCGAGCCGACTTCGAGCTCAGTTATGGGAGTACCATTTTGATATTCAAGTTTCTTGAATGGGACGCTGAAGATGGCTTTGGTCCCTGTATCGAGCTTGGAATCCAGACGAATCGTCCCATGCATCAGGTCTACCAAGTTTTTACATATGGTCAGCCCGAGCCCGGTCCCTCCGAAACGTCTGGCAGTGCTTGAGTCGGCTTGACTGAAAGGCGTGAACAGTTTCTTCTTGACTTCTTCTTCAATTCCGATTCCACTGTCTTCGACACAAAAATCAATCGTAATTGTGTCAGTGGTTTCACCAACGATGTTGGCGCTCAACCTCACGAAGCCCGTCGAAGTAAATTTGATACTGTTGGTTAAAAGGTTGACCAGGATCTGTCGTATCCGACCAGGGTCACCTAACAGAATGAGTTCCTCGGATGGTCTGAGGTCGATGGCACTCCTGAACTCGAGTCCCTTGCGTTGAGCTGCAAATGAAAGCATTTTGGCAACATCACGAAGAACGTGGTTTAGGCTAAACTGCACTTCCTCGATATCAAGCCGGCCGGACTCGATCTTGGAGAAGTCCAGAATGTCGTTGATGACCGTGAGAAGAGAGTTGGCAGATCTTTGGATGTTTTGGGCGAATTCGCTTTGTTCCAGATCCAGGGAGGTATCCATAAGTAGCTCTGACATTCCCAGCACTCCTGCGATTGGCGTCCGAATCTCATGAGACATGTTGGCGAGAAAGCTGCTCTTCATCTTGCTCGCTTCTTTAGCTGCCGTCTCCTTCGCAAGCAATATGATGTTTTCCTGTTCCTTGTGGCGTAACGACGTAACGTCAGATCCGATGACAATGACCCCAGCAATATAGTTTTCATCCTCCACTCTATTGGGGCCAGTTTTACCCTTGAGCGGTACCAGTTTGGATCGAAACCATCTAGAATTCACTTCATTCTCGCAGATTTCCAGATCGGATGCTCCTGATAAAATACGGTACAAAGCCTTCCTGAATTTGTTGATCGCTTGCGGGGTCAGGCGCTCACGGAAGACGTCCAGGATAGGGACCCCAACGATCCTGTCGGTTGTCGCATCGCCCATAATGAAGGAACCCTCGTGAAAAGTGACATTCAGTTGTCTGTCGAGAATCCACATGGTCATTTGCGAGTGTTTTAACACGTCCAGCAATTGCCGTCGAACCCTCTGTCCAGAAAACTTGGCATCGACGACTTCCTGGATATCTGTGCACGTACCAAACCATTTGAGGATCTTGCCTGTCTTATGGTCACGCATGGGTAAGGCCCTCCCAAGCATCCATCTCCATTGACCGTCGAATCTTCTGCAGCGATACTCCGTGATGTACTCGTCCCCGGTCACGAGGGAGTGACGCCATCTGTGCGTGGCTTCAGGCATATCTTCTGGGTGGAAAGCCAGTTTCCACCCCTGGCCCAATGAATTGGCTGGTGTCAGGCCAGTGTAGTCGTACCATCTTTTGGAATAGTAGTCGTGGTAGCCGTCCGCCCTCGTGGTCCAGATCATCTGTGGCATCATATCACAGATGAGGCGAAATTGTTCTTCATTTTCTGCTGTCTGGTGTGCAATCCTTTCGGTATACTCTGTGACATCCTTGAAGGCTATCAAGCCTGCCAGAAATTCCCCAGACTTTTCGTCATAAACAGGATGCCCGCTGACATCGAAGTTTGATCTTTTGCCCGTCTTCTCATTGAGTAGACCAATCTGCCAGTTGGTGAAGGGCTGCTGAGTACGGCACAGAGCAAGGACGGGATTGGCTTCCTCTTGGAGCTCCCGCGAGAAATCTGTAGTCCACGGGCGAAATCGTGACATGAAGTCGTACGACTCATCTGACGTGGGATCGGTTTCGACTGCCATTAACTTTCGAGCAGCCAGGTTTGGCAAAACCACGCTCTCATCTTTCCACATGGCAATGAGTGGGATTTCGATCGCACTCAACATGGCGTTCTTCATCTTCAGGACCTTCTGGAAGTCGGTGGGGGCAGAGGGAACCGAACACTGCGCGGGAGGGGCGACGGGAGGGAAAGAAACCATGGAGGGCTGTTCCACAGGAGACGTAATTTGAGAGGTGTCAGAGGAGGAAGCAGGTGTCTGCGATTGCGACGAACGGGAGGATCTGGCTGAATTGGACGACGGATGACGCGTAGTGCCTGATGAGAGTGATGATGGTTTGTTGGGGGGATGCCCTGCGGAGCTTGTGAATGTCAGAGTGAAGAAGCGTTGTCCTTGCAACTCCCAGATACTGATGATCATTCGACACGTGGTGTGGACAGCCCCATGGGCTTGATTATGTCTCTGTCGACGACTGCGAGATGGCATCTGGTCATGAGGATAGGAGATGACCACATCGACCACAGTGTCCTGAGGCTTTTCAGTACGCCTCTGCAACTGCGGCCTACCTCTTGCAGCGGCGGCCTCAGATATTGGAACAGGAGGCGTCTCTCTGCTCTGCACGTCGTGTAGGGAAGTCCGTTGAGACAGTCTATCTCCTGCAGTCGACTGCAAATCACTGGCGAGGTTGTCGAGAAATCTTTCCCAACTAACCCATATTGGAACGCCGCCATCCGAGACCATGTCAATCCCCAACTGGGACAGCGTCTGGCCCTTGAGGAAGTCGGTCACATCGAAGTCGGGATCATTTTGATCGGCTCCCAATAACCTCCCCACGGCCGAATTCGCGAGGAGGACAGTCTTTAAGGAGGAGAGGACGAGTATTGGTGTAGGCAGGGTCGCAAGGGCGGCCAGGGCAATTTCGGTCGCCATAGGGAGTTGGGGTAGGTCGATACAGAAATGGTGAGCAGAAGACGCTGTGGCATTGCGTCCCTCAGCGATTGCAGCAACAGCAGCAGTGGAGTCTGAAGCGGCTAGGGATGGAAAGAGAATACTATGGTGGGATGGTCTGGGTTCGAAGTCGACATCGCCTTTAGCGACCATTTCCAAAGGAGCAGGTGTGGCTGTGAGGGTGACTGGAGGAGAGGGAGCACCGCGGGATCACTCTACCTAAGACAGATCAAGGCGATAGTGCCTGGTGGTCCGGGAAGTCAGCCACTTAGCAAGCATCACAAGCGGAATGTGAGGTGACGTAGGAGGCACTTGACGGCACACTAGGGCCTGCGCAAGCCAGATTCTTTGTCGCTTCAGCGGTGGCCTTAGGGTGGCCACAACCTCGTATTTCGGAGTCTTGTAGTGGCTAGTGAAAACTGAAGTAGGGGTAGCAGACATTGGCGAGGATATCTTGTACAAGTGGCTCAGTGGTTATGAGAATGATGGACTTGGTTCTTCCACATTTGGTAGCGACACGAGAAGTGATCGGAGGCCACCAAACACGCGGGTTGGGCACTAGGGGCCACACAAGCATGGGAAATTGAAATTGCCTCTCAGATCCCCATTTCCAGTTCCTCGCATATCCTGTTTTCCCACTTTTCAATTGACTCTCGCTTCCTCGTGCACCTCTCCAGCCACCATCCATCGTCACAGCCTCACTCCTTCTGCAGCAGCTTGCATCTGCTATGGCTCCAATGAGAAAGATGCGAGAGTGTAGGTGTACAACCACCAGGTCCCTGCTGAGGTGCAATTCACTAGGCCGCCCACGAAGGAGCCGTTCTCTTGTTATTCATCGGATTACTGGCCTCCAGCCAATCGAGAACCGATAAAGGCGAGACGCGATCCGATCATCAACCGCTTTCCCCGACCTCCTCCACCTTTACCATGTGACTGCCAGTCCCAAGTCTTGTGGACGCCGAGGCCACCAACTCCCCACTGGTATATTCAGTAAAAGATGATAATTCATGGGCACTTGTACGCAGGTGGGCCACAAGTGACCAAGAACACAAGTTGTTGTTTGTCGGAGAGTCTGATATACATCACACCCACGGTATTATAAAGAGGCTGTGGCCGCAAGCTATGCGAGTCGTCTTCACGCCGACTTGGAGTACAAGGACTGCGAGTTTGGTGGTCGCTCTTACGCGAGCTAGCAACACGGTCCGTCGTTGACTCATTGAGGGCCATGTGGGCATCGGATACCGAGGACACGGATACGGGACAATTACAATTCCAGGCTCAGATCAATCACACTCGCAGATGGCCTTAGGAGCCTTCTCCGCGGCCTGATACGAGAAGGCCTCAAAATTCGGGCCTTATAGGGACACGGCATTTCGCTCACGGTAGGCTTTTTCTTCTTGCACTGCTCGATGCTCTACGGTAGCAGCTCGTCAAAGGCACTCTTGTCACAGCCATGGCGCAGTCTATCCCCCAAACCCTCAAGCTTGACTTGTCTCAATATCCCAAATTGTCACCCGCTCAATTAGGCCACCTCCGCCATTTCTGCAACCTCGCGTTCCAGCCAGATGGAGAATGGGCCAAAATGGGCTCTCAAGAACCCCTTCAAGAGTTCTTGGATGCCTACCGCTACCAACTAGCCACAATGGCCTACGCGGTCGGTGTTGCTCACTATCACCGTCTGCCGGCTCTTCGCTCGATATTCAAACCACTTCTCCGCCAGCTGATCCATAAAATGCTGCGCAAGGAGGTCTGGGCCTACTGGTTCAATACTAGTCTAGGTGGTGTGCGCACCGACCCGAGTCTGCAGAAGCTCAGGGAACCGTGGGCCGATCCTGTCGTGAGAGAAAACATCATGTATAGCGGTCATCTTCTGTTGATGACTAGTCTCTACGCCATGCTCTTCGACGACGACGAATTCGAGAAACCCGAATCCCTTGTTTTCAAATGGGACCCTATGTTTTATGGTCTCGGCGACGAGACTTTCTCCTACGATAACCGCAGCCTCCAGGCAGCCATCGTCCGGGAGATGGAGAGGAATGGATGGGTGGGCGTCTGTTGTGAGCCAAACGTGGTTTTTGTCGTCTGCAACCAATTTCCAGTACAGCCACTCCCCTCCATTATGTTATCTTCGCTGACTGTGGCACAGATCATAGCAATGAAATACAATGATTCCCGCGATGATACTACCCAGGTCGAGGAGCTTCTGACGAAATACAAGGCCGCCTGGGACAAAAAGGGCATGGTCTCTTCCAATGGTCTCTTTGTTGATTTTTGGATGGTCAAACAGGACATGATCGCCCCTCCTAGAGATGTAGGATGGACCGCATGGTAGGCATTTTACTGACTTGGTCCATTGGGGACTCGGGCTCACAAATGTTTAGGGCGGGCGCTTTTATGAATTCCTGGAATCACGAACTCGTAGAGAGCCTCTACCCCAAACAGTTCCCTGGCTTTATCACGAACATTTCCAGCCGTGTCCGTCTGCAACCGCCCATCGTGGCCACCCACTACCGCCAACTATCGGCAGCAGCCTCGTCCACCAGATCGGAACAAGAAACACTCCAGGAAGCCATCCGTCTCGCTAAAACCGATCTCTCAAGAAATCCCAAGCCGCCTTTTCCCTACACCAAACCCTGCTTCGGATATGTTGTCCAATGGCTCTCCGAGCTCGGCCAAACAGAGCTTCTCAACGGCCTTCTTGCATATGCAGACGAGTCTCTAAATCCCACGTGGGAGAACGGGGGCCTGTTCTACCCCCGCAACGACACGCCGTTCGTCTTCACTGAGGACGACCAAGATGGCGAGGGCGTCCAATGGACACACATATCTCCATTTTGCGGCAACGCTGCGATCGGGTACGCACGACTCAATGTCAAAGACGGACAGCGCATCATGTACGAAAAGCCTTGGACAAGAGAATCTCTGGCCCAGACGCCGTGGATTGACAACCTCGAATTCGCAGGTAAGGAACACGGGGTTGGCGTCCTCCGTGGTGTGTGGGACAAAGATGCCCATGCGCTGATCCTCACCGTGAAAGGGTGGGATATCGAGGGGCGAGCACGTCCTGAGGCAGTAAACATTGAGCCCGTCGCTCGGAATTTATCCCCGGGGCATTGGGCCGTCTATGTCGATGGGAAGTTGCGGACAAGTAGAGACTTGCAAGGCCAGATTGGAGATGAGCTCAGGGTGCCACTTGAGGTCAAGAGGGGACAGGAGGTTGACGTGGTTTTCCAGCAGCTCGACGCGGGGATCACGAACAACGGTCAAGCCAATGGCCATGTCTGATGGGAGACTGCCACATGGGAGAGAAGGAATGTTGATGAAATGTTGTGTTGCCATTGCTGTCGGTCGAGAGATCTAGAGTGCTGCTCGTAGGCAGGAAGAAGGGAGAAAGGAGCACTAATTAATATCAACGGAATCGAGTCACATTTCTTATTTCTTTGTTTATTCATTCACGCATTCATTCAGTAAGTATCTCGCGTAGATTATCATTACAGTCCATCAGGTCTATCTATCTATTTATCATCAAGGGGAGTATCACGACATTCATTGGAAGAAAGAAAACTTATCGAAACAGAGGAATCCGTCCCGTCCATCCATCGAATCTGTACCTCTATCAATGCAGCAAGGCGTCAAGTCATGATGGGAGAGGGAGATAGATGTAACGCCTTCGCCGTGCGCCGACTATCCGTCCATACACCTCCACTTCACTCAAATCTCGGGTCTCACAGGGAGGAAGAAGGGAGAGAGGAGAAAGGAGAAAGAGGGGGGTGGGAGCGGTGAAGGAAGCCAGTGTCCCCCCTTTTTTTTGTCTGTCGACTTCGATTGTGCACCGCTTAAGTTGAACCTTGCAGGACGGCCTGGTTGCCGTGGACCGGGACCGCGACCTGCTCCTCCTCGTCTCGACCTCTGGCGTTCGGAGGAGGGGCCTTCTTGACCGAGACGATCAGACCCTGCTCGGTCTCGAGGCCGACGTTGAGGTCGTACGCCTTGATGAACAGGCTCAGCACGAGAGAAAAGCCCGCCAGCGCGGTGAGAACGATGTAGACTGTCCGTAGCGAGTCGGTGTAGGCGGTGCGCAGGGCCAACTTGCCCGCGCCGCTGGGGGTGGCCTTGATGATCTCGACGAGGGCGGCGGCGTCCTTGGCCAGCTCCGAGGCGCGGGCGGCGTAGGCCGGGTACTTTTGCAGGTTGGTCACCATCTGGTTCTGGAAGATGACGCCGCCGATGGCCACGCCCACGGTCTGGCCGAACGAGCGGAAGAAGACGAAGATGGCCACCGCGAACGCCATGTCCTTGTTCGAGCTGGCGGCCTGCACCTGGAACTGCTGGCCCGGGAACAGGATGCCCAGCCCGATGCCCGAGATCAGGTCGATGAAGATCCACTGCGGGATGGTCGTGTCCACCTTCAGAAGCGTCAGAAGACCCAGACCCAGTGTCGCAGTAGTCCAGCCGGCCCAGATGGACCAGCGGTATGCCGCGAACTTTGTGATCAACAGGCCCGTCACTACGGCCATTGGCGCCACGGTGAAACTCGCGGGGAAGAGCGCGACACCCGCCACCACAGGTGTGTAGCCCTTGACAGCTTCGAAGTACAGTGGCTGGTAGTACAAGATACACCAGAGAACCATGCCGTGGAGGGTTGTCGTCACGTATGCGATGTTGGCGGTGCGGTTGCTGAACACCGACAGTCTCAGCAAAGGTTCCGGCGCGAGGTATGCTTCATAGAAGCCGAAGCCAATCAGGCCCACGGCGCCGACGAGCAATGGAACCAACGTCCTCCACGACGACCAGCTGTACATGACGCCGCCCCATGTCAGTGGGATGAGGAAACTCGTCATGCTGCCCACGAAGACGACGGTGCCAATCCAATCCACCCGGCGCAACTTTGCGGCAATGCTCTGTGGAATGACGTTGAGACGGAGGAACAAAGGAATCATGACAGCTCCGATGCCGATAAAGGGGAGATTGAGCCAAAAAATCCAACGCCATTGAACTTGGGCAAAGGCGCCGCCGATGATGGGACCCGACACAGACCCAATAGACCACATCCCAGCTATGATTCCAGCCCATTGACCTCTGTAACGGAGGGGAACCAGATCTGTGATGACGATTTCGGTCATGGCCATGACGCCTGTTTATTTTCGAGTCAGAATCAAAGTGTCTGCAGACATGACTGATGAGGAGGAGAGGTGACCTACCGCCGCCACCAAGCCCTTGAACTGCCCTTCCAGCAAGTAATAGTCCGAAACCATTTGATAAGGCCGCCATCATCACACCCACAAAGAACAATGCAATAGAGACCATGATGACAGGCATTCGTCCAAAGATATGGCTGAAGGAGGCGAAATTGGGTTGAAATACGGTCGAGGCGAGGAGGAACGAAGTGCCGGCCCAGAATGCTTCAATGGCGGTTCCGTGTAGTTTTCTGGCGATGATGGGGAGGGCGACACTGATTGAAGTGCCATCAAGCGCCACCATGAGAGTAAGCACTGACAGAGCAACAAAGGCCATAACGAAGCGGGTGGAGATTGTGAATGGGGGGGGTGCGGAGGGGGCGCCATTGTTGTTGTCGATGTCTCCCTTCTCGGAAACCATGGAAGCGGAAGATGGAGTTGTCTGAGATTCTTGGGTCTCTTGAAAGAGTGGCCCTTCTTTCGCTTCTTCAGAGGGCGCAGTCGGTACGTCCATGGTGGAGGAGGATATTTGGGAGTGTTGAGGATTGTGCAGAATGAGGAGGTGATGCTCAGAACTGAACAGAAGGGATTCTATAAAGGTTTCCGCGAGTGTTTGTGCCAATGTAATGTGTGGGACCAAAGATGTACTCGGTACCTGGTTCTATTGGGACAATAGCAGACAAAGGAGAGGCAAGGACAGGAGCTTCTTTAGCTTGGGTGGATTTGGACAGCGAACACAGTCCCAAGTCGCCACGTCCATGATATATACTTGTACCACTTGATACTCACCCAAAGCATATTCCATCCGAGCGGCATCCGTCAAGATTTCTCTTCGGGACAGTTAACAGCGCATCTCGCCGGAACAAGCCCCCATAACGCTGGGCATCCAAGACGAGGCTGAAATAACTGGAGCTGCGAGAAGCGCATTGGTTGATTCGGGGCAATAGTGTCGAGAATGCCGACTTTGGCCAGCGGAAGAATTTCACGCCGCCCACAGATAGGTACGTAGGCCCCTTTGTCTGAGGCAGCATCCATTTCTCCAGGCAAATCAGGACAAACACGATGGGGAATTTTGAACCGTAACTGATCCGGCACAGTTAGTTTCTCGTTGGCCCGTTTCTCGGTTGCTGATTGGCAACTCTAAGCGAATGCGGCGCGATACGAAGGCATGGCTCGCGTGGCGGAGGCTTCGCTCATATCTCAAACGTATACGATCCCTTATAACGAGGTCTTCATGATTCATGAGTCACCTGTCTGCTCTTCTCACTCCCACTAACATTTTTCTGTTCTGCCATGAGATCTAGAATAGGAGCGCTGGATACGTATCTGCTTCAAAGCATGGGGGTTGACGACGGCTGGCAGTGTGGTCGTAAATGGCAAACATGTATTTTCCGCATATCGAGATGTTGGCGCCTAAGGAGATCTGGTGACGGTGGTGCTGCATGGCATATATCACGTCATAGCAATAGCTGAGATACCATTTACCTGATCAAGCGAGCATTCGGTACGGATTTGACGGTGATTTCGATGAAGAGAGAGCAGGTTGGCAGGATACAAAGTGGGTTGCGGGCTGCGGGCTGCGGACAAATAGTCGGGCCGACCACGTGACTGATGACAAAACAGATTTGTTTCTATTCTGCTTGAGTCGGAATGAAACAGTCAACAAACAATGGCGCAGGTGTGTGAGTATGTTCAGGTCTGTGATTGGCATCCTCGTATAATAATAAAGCCATGAATAGTCCCAGCTCAACTCGGACTAGTTGCATATGCGACGCGACTTCACTCCTCAGACATCTGACTCCCTTCATACAAGCAGGTACCGCGCACTCAAAAAGACAACAGGATTGAAGCTCCAACGGGATATGATAACCAACTACCGCGCAAGGTCTGTGTCGACATAGATCTGTTGAAGGGAGACAGTGGACTGCTCCATATTAAGCCCATTATAGACACTTCCTTCCATGCTCTTACTCCTCCCGCATTCATCCAGACAACATTTAAACCATGATCACATCGCAGAGGCGGCAAAGTCTGCACCCATTGCAGCGCCGTAGCCATAAGTCGACGAGCCTGGGTTCTTCTTCCGCCATTTTTTCTCGGCGCTCTTCTGAGGTGTGAGGCGCGCTGCATCAGCTTCCGAGCTGGACAGTTTTCTCGTTACGGGTTTTGCGTCGTGATCGGTTACATCCACAAAAGCTGGCTGGTCTTTGTGGCTGGCTTTCCGCCCTTTCACTTTTGGGCCCGGCACCTCACTCATGTGAGCCTCATTGGATTCGGTGATGTGGATGGGCTGTTGTGTAGGGTCATTAATCTTGCGACCCCACGGATTGACGGCATGTACTGCAGGTTGGGTAGGGTCGTCGAGTGTCTGACTGTTTCCAAAGCACATGTTTGCAACAGTGGAGGAGTTCAAGTGATATTCTTCACTGTGTTGTTTTGAAGAATCGGGCCAATGTGATCGACGAGGAAGTCGAACAGTTATCTGTGATTAGCTAGCTATCTGATGATATGAAACCTGGAGTAGTTGATGTCCGGTTAGTACGAAATTACGGATGAGGCTGGAAGTGCAGGGTATTCATTCAATAGAGCAGATGGCCAGCAAGTGATGTTGAGAGGCACTGAAAATAGCTGCTCCGAATACGACGGCACAGCGCATGGTGAGAGATAAACTAGTCAGGAGAGGCAGAGTTTGTGGAGATAAAAATAGCGAAGCCCACGTTCATTCTTGGGGAAACGAGGAAACGAGGAGTGTAGGGAGGCACGAGATACAAAGTATTGGATGGGGAGTAGTGAGGAGTTGTTATCATTGAGTCGCTTGTAGAGGAAGATGGTGATGATGGGGAATCAAGCATCGAACCCCCACATTTCCTTTTGCCTTTTGCCTTTTGCCTGCGCCTGCGCCTGCGCCGGAGTTGCTTCTCCTTCTCCCTCCCCGTCGTCCAGTGGTCCTCGTCCAATCTCAATCTTCATCCAATTCCACCACCAAGTCGCCCGCAGTTGGCATTCTCTCGGCATCTGCTCACCTGCATAGTTCATCCATCCAAGATGAAATGGATCTGCCTCGATTCTGTCGCGTTTAGACCCATAACTCGGCAGATTCCCGTTTGACTTGGTTCACACAAATGTGCTTTGAGTCTCCTACGCCGCTCATGCAAGCTTCAGTGACAAGGAATGATGTTACAAAGGAAGTGCACAGAGACGTCTGAGGCCCATTCGTTTCGATCGCTATCACATTGTCGCGAACAGCGTAATCTCATTCGCCGCATGGGTGCGAGGTGAATTTCAAACCACACACATGTGGACCAGGAACAGAGATTGCCTTGTCTTGTAACATTGTGGGGTATCAAAGAGCTTACTATTCCACATGGCCGGCTTCTCTTTGACACAAAGCACACTGCATATCTTTTTCCAGCCTTTTATACACACCGAGTGTCCTGTATTTCGGCTTCAGACAAATGACGACTCGCTACCGAGGCTGCGAGGGCGTCTCTACCAATGGAGGCGCGGAGGTTTCGAACCAGTAGGAGGCTTTGCTCCACCCGAGGCAGGCTGGTGGTCATTAACTATATGTCCAAGGTACCTTGTATTGTGGTTGACCAAGTACCTCGGCCAGAGCTCTCATTGGCCTCGCTAGATACGATTTCATGCTACAGTAGGTCCTTACAAAATGGCAAAATCCCCCCAAACTCAAGGGTATTGGCTTCCTGTCCCCCAAGGCCAGCAGCAGCAACAGCAAGAACAACAACAACAACATCACCAACACCATGGCTGAAAATATCATGACCGGGCCGTTCTTCCCATGGGCGGGTCCGATTGACAACATCACCCTTCCAGAACTAATGACCAAGTACAACCCCGACACTGTCCCTGCCGACAAGGTCGTTCATGTCGACACCATCGCCAACAAGAGTATTACGTATGGTGGCCTCCGAAAACAAGCTGCCCGTTGCGCATGGGGGCTACAGCACAAATTGGGATTGAAGGAACAGGATAGACTGTTGGTTATTCTTCCCAACTCGGTATGTCATTTGCCAACCCAAGAACTGTCATGCATGGTCTGATCAACCGAGACATAGACCGACTTTGTGATTTTAGCGCATGCAACCATGTGGCTCGGAGCTGTATTATCGTATGTCTGCCCAGGATCTTGGAGGATCATGAGTATCTCACAAACCTCGTCAACAGACCCCTCAACCCGGCCTCGGTTGCAAAAGACGTTGCCCATGCTCTGTCTCTGATCCAGCCCACCCATGTCGCGATTGACCCAAGCAAACTCGCTACCGTCAATGCTGCCTTTGCTGAGCTGGGCTGGGGACCAAGTCAACGTCCGGTACTTTTCACCGTGCTGGGAAGGTCTGGTGATCTCAAGCTGGTGAGTGACGCTTGCAACCTTCTATAGTAGAACGTGCCAGTCTGATTCTTGCCAGTTCCCCGACGACATCGAGGGTCAAACCCCCGAGGAGTCGCTTCCAATCTTCGACCTGCGAGGGAGGAGCACCAAGAATCTGACGGCCATGATTGTGTTTTCTTCTGGGACGACTGGGAAAATCAAAGGCGTGCAATTATCCCATTACAGTATAGTGAACAATCTCATCCAAGGTCGCTGTTCGATTCCCTGGATGATGAATCACTCGTCACGCGCTGTTTTCTTTCCACCATGTAAGTGTCTATTCATTCAAGTGCCACGGCATCAGTCCTGGGAGTCTGACCCAATCCTCACAGACTGCCATGTCTATGGTCTTACGGTTGTGGTGTTGAGTGGCATGTGGGTCGGCTCGTTTACCTGTGGAATCCCAGCCTTTGACCTGGAATTGTACTGCCGCAAGATGGAGCAATACAAGGCAACGTGGACTCACATTGTTCCGCCCGTGGCCATTCAACTGGCGTCTTCAAACATTGCGGCAAAATATGATCTGTCGCACTTGAAGATCATCCTCATCTCGGCAGCACCGACCAAGAAAGATCTCCAGATGAAACTGAAGGCAAGGTTTGGCAGCGATACCAAGATCGTCCAAGGTCGGCCACTCTGAATATGATTTCGAGCGGTTCAACAGGCTGACAAATGGCAGGCTATGGAATGTCCGAATGTTCTCCCTCCGTGCTTGTGCAGAGCCCGCTGGACGACGATGAGAATGTTGGGACGGCAGGAAAGCCCATTGCGGGAACGTACGTATCTCTCGCATTGTCTCTACCGCTATTTAGAGGAAGCTCGGTTCTAACCTGTCCCCCGTTCTTCTACAGTGAGCTCCGTCTGGTCGATCCGGTCACGTTTAAGGATGTCGCGCCAGGTGAAGAGGGCGAACTATGGGTTCGAGGCCCTCAGACAATGATGTTAGTGGTTGCGCGCGTCTAATTTCCTGCCGTACTGACCGAGGGCTAGGGGATATTACAACAACGAAGCCGCCACACGAGAGACTTTTGTGGGTGACTGGCTTCGCACAGGTGATATCTTGCGGGTGGACGAGAATGGCAATTTCTGGGTCACGGATCGTCTCAAAGAGGTGAGTGTCAGGCTCGTACACCTGAGGAGATGTTGCTGACCTGCTTGCAGTTGATCAAATACAAGGGGTAAAAGCTCACCCGAGGATATGGATTGATAAGTGCTCACAATGCTGACTGAATGCTAGATTCCAAGTACCACCATCGGAACTCGAAGACCTGCTCCTAAAGCATCCCTTGGTCAAGGACGCTGCCGTGACGTCGATATACTCGGACGAACAAGCCACCGAACTGCCCATTGCATACGTGACACTTCCTCCCACCACGCCGGCTGCTCAAAAACCAGCCATGCTTGCTGAAATCCGTGCCTGGGCCGACGGGCAAGTGGCGGGCTACAAGAAGCTGCGCGGTGGAGTGTTTGAACTGGAAAATCTACCCAAGACGCCGTCGGGAAAGATCTTGAGAAGAGAGCTGCCGTGTAAAAAGGCTCAATCAGATGGACGAGCTGCCAAGCTGTGAGGGAGGAGCAAGAAGGGGACGGTCTTATAGAGGTTGATAGAGGTTCACCAAGACGGTTGTTCCGGGGAGGAGAGGCATTTCGCTTGTATAGGTTCCTTGCTCCTTTTGGGCCTGTAGTGTAGAGAGCGGCTTCAAGCATCAACGAACCAGAGACTGGGACAGGGCATCATCAGAGAAGAAAAAGGAGCACTTTGCTATACAATAAATAGTTTGCTATACATATTCTACCGAATATTATTCTTGTCTGACCAATGCCCGCCCACTTTCCTACTTACTTGCCCATGCCTTGGTTCTACGTACATATGATATGCAAGGATCTCGGACTTAACAGACCCTGAAGCCACTCGATTGCAGCTTTGAATTTTTGATTTGACCGTCTTTGTCCCTATCGTCCGCATTGGCCGCAATTATCCAGACTCTATCGCCGTCTGTCCACGAAATGTTCCACACGGTCCCTTTTCGTATTTTGGGGGGTGACCGACCCGGTCGAAACGTCCGGATTCGTCCACCCGTCCCCGCCCCCTGCGCCGCGTCTGATTCGTCCCCGCGACAAGTCACGGCTGAATTACCGCCCGCTTGTATGTTTTTTCTTTCTTTGGGTCCCCAGTTCCAGACTAGAGAGTTTTCTGTTGCGTTGGTGCGTTGGTTGTACATACAGTTAAGCTTCTGACGAAGAGGAGTCGTGTCGTCAAGTTTGTGATTGGAACGCCAGAGCTGCCTTGCTTTTTACCTCCTTGTTCTATCTAGTAGGTGGCTGACTAGTATCAAAAGCGGGAGTCGGAGTTAAGGAATGGGAATGGCAAAGGTCACCGTCACGATGTTTTGTTTTTGGTCTGATGTGATGTAAAGAGGGCACGGACGGAAGTCGCTCGATGAGGAGGAGAAGGTTGCGGAGAGGGTGAATTGGCAAAAAGTGTATATAAAGGACCAGGTGTTGGCGGATGTTCATCGACTTCTTTTTTTTTGTTTCTTTGCTCGGCTGCGTATTTCCGCATCAAACACCAACACCAACATTACATACCGAGTACGAGGTACACTGCCTTCACACTACACAAGACTAACCCGGTACACTCTACTGGGTACAGACCAAACAAAATCAAACGACTCGATCCCCTCCCTCACACACACACACACCCACCCGCCTTTTCTTCTTCCTTTCCTCTTCGAGAACACCCAACAATGTCGTCGGCGCCATCGCTGTCCAAACCCCTCCCGACCCTCCCGCTGGGCAAAGACGGCCCCTCCATCCCCGCCATGGGCATCGGGATGATGTCGCTGGGCCACGCGTACGGGTCCGCGGGCGGGGACGAGGAACGCCTCGCTTTCTTGGACGCCGTGTACGCCCTGGGCGCGACGCACTGGGACGACGCCGACCTGTACGGCGACACCGAGACGCTGTTGGGAAAGTGGTTCCGCGCGAACCCGGACAAGCGCGACGACGTCTTCGTGACGACAAAGTTCGGCTTCGCCGGCCAGGACGCCAGCGGCGCGTACATCATCCGCAGCGACCCCGAGCACATCCGCGCCGCGTGCGCCGCCAGCCTGGAGAAACTGCAGTCCGGCTGGATCGACCTGTACTACTGCCACCGCGTGGATGGGAAGACGCCCATTGAGGAGACGGTCAAGGCCATGGTGGAATTGAAAAAGTATGTGTTTTTTTTCCCCTCGGAACCTTTTTGCCCTCTTCTACTCGTTATTTCCTGGTTTTGGTTTTGGATCGTTGTCCCTATCCCTCAAGAAAAAGAAAAACCAAAAAAAAAAAAACCAGGGGGATATGCTAATGACAAAAATCTCCGTGCAAAACAGTCAAGGCAAAATCCGCCACATCGGCCTCAGCGAAGTCTCGGCCTCAACCCTGCGGCGCGCCTACGCGGTCCACCCCATCGCGGCGCTGCAGATCGAATACTCGCCGTGGGCGCTGGAGATCGAGAGCAACGGGGTGCTCGAGGCGTGCAAGGAACTGGGCGTCGCCGTGGTGGCCTACTCGCCCCTGGGTCGGGGGTTCTTGACCGGCACCATCAAGTCGCCCGCCGACGTGCAGGGCGACTTCCGGGGGATGCTGCCGCGCTTCCAGCCCGAGAACTTTGACAAGAACCTGACGCTGGTGAAGCGCATCGAGCAGCTCGCGGCGGCCAAGGGCGTCACCACCAGCCAGCTCGTCCTGGCTTGGCTGCGCCGCCAGTGGCCCCAAGGCATCCACCTCCTCCCCGGCACGCGCAGCGTGAACCGCGTCAAGGAGAACCTCGCGGCCCTGTACGTCGAGCTCACCGACGACGAGGACCGCGCCATCCGCGCCGCGTGCCAGGAATGCGTCGCCACCGGCACCCGGTACCCCGAGGCCATGGAGTACGCGCAGCTGGGGGAGACGCCGGAATTGGGGAAATGAATCTTGTCGAGAGGGTCTGAGCAATTCGACATGAAGGGGGGGTTAGGGAAACAGGAAGACAGGGAGGGAGACAGGGGAAGAGGTCCAGCGATAAGAAGGACGACGTGACATGACAAGACATGACCAGACCAGACCACACAGACAATATGATATGATATGATAAGAATGGAGAGAAGAATAGGGTCGCCGGTTTAGTTTTCTCAAGTATTCGCGAATCACAAAAATGCATACCTACGCGGTATACAATATGCAATACTCAATATGCGATATTTCAACCACGTGTGCCAAATCTATAAAGAGGACATATTTCATATATTTACGTATGTTTTTACATATGTCCCTATACACGTCGATACCTAGAGGTACGTATATAGGTATGTAGATATACAGCTGTATCCATTTTCCCTGGCCCTGATCAGCCTTGCCGTGCCATGCCCTTTTGTCGTATCTCGTGTCCCATATCCCGTATCTCATATCTCATTGCGCGCATTTCGACACGCCTTTCACATAGCACAAACAACAAAAGGTACCGCAACTTTTGAAACCGAACAAGGCCTCCGTCGCACAGAAAGAAGGATCCTTCTCAGGAAGATCCAAGGGTGGATGGGGAGAATGGGTCCGAATCTTCACCTCTTGTCCCGTCTCCGCAGCGAGAACAAAATCCCCGGAAAACCTCCTGAGACGCAGTCGGGCTGGTTGTCGATAACTCCGGATATCTTCCCTCCCTGTTGACGTTCAAGTGGCGGTCGCCTACTCAACTTTTTGGAATTGGAACCCATTCCGATTCCCCTTTTGATGCTCGCCTGAACCCCCCTGGGACTAGACCTTTGATACCTCTTCCTGTTTTGCCTCGACCCATTCTCCTCGGACAGGCAGATCGGATAGTTGACGGTAGATATCTCTGCATCCCAACTCTTGAACACTCTGATCCTTCTTCTCCTGAGAAGCGCTGCTGTCAATAGTCCCGGTGCTGGGGCTGGTAACTTGCTTTTCTGTCGTCGTCTTGCCGGCATTCAACTCGGTCAATGTCTGCCCATTGGTCCTCTTTCGCGCAACCCCCATATTCAGTGCAGCTCGGGCTTCGTCAGAGACGATGTCGAGGGTGTCGAACTGATATGTCTGCCACTTGCGCGCAGAGAGGTGCTTCTGGAAGAACAGCTCAATCTCCAAGTGGCTGCGTCCGGTTGTCTCGCCGACACAGAACCACACATACGCAAGCGTTATGCACGTGGTCCCGGCGTACACGAAGCCCAACATAGGACCCAATCCGCCGTTGTAGTAGATATACGGGCTTGTAAAGGCGATCACCCATACCGTGAAAAAGAACGAGACAATCGACGAGCTCATGATCTTGTTGCGGTTGCGTCCCACGGCCATCTCGGTGGCGATAGTGAATGCGAGCGGACCGTGGCCAAAGTTGAACGCCACAATGACAATGTATGAGATGACCACGATGGTTGTGCTAAAACTAGTCTTTGTGTACGGTCCAGCTCCGAGCCCTCCGATGATGAGATATGCCACAACCATCATGATAGTCGTGACCAGGAGGTTCGAGCGACGACGTACTTTGTTGCCAAGCAGGACCGACATGCCCACCGCAATGACCTGGAGCGTGTTGGTGATGACGGAAATCGTAAAGGCTTGCTTGATGCCGATAGACTGTGCAAATACAACCCCATACGAGTAGAAGAACTGAATGCCGTTGATCTGTTGCGCCACCATTGCACCGCATGAGTAGATGAGCTTTCGTCGTTCAATGGGGTCTCTCAGCAGTGACATCCACGATGTCGTTGCTTCTCGAAGTCGTTCGGTCTCGACCATGTCATTAAAGGCTGCGATATCGTCGTCAGGTGTGTATCCTGGCATGCTTCGGTTGATCTTCATGAGCGCTTTCGCGGCTTTCTCCGATTGACCTCGTCGAATGTACCAGACCGGAGATTCGGGAATGAAGATCAGCCCCACGAGCATCACCAGCGGCAGCAAAGCCAGCAACCCCATGGGAATACGGTATGAGGCAGTGGTGCTGATGGATTCCGTACCCTGTGTGATCCCTGAGCCGACAAGTTGAGAGCACGACTGCATGAATTGAAACATCATTAGAGCCGGACCTCGAATGGCTTGCGGTGCAACCTCCCCAATATACAGGAGGCATGTCACTGTAAACTGACCAATCCCGAGACCGATCAGTATCCGACCCAGGCAGATGACTCCCATGGAGCCCTGGTCGGCACATTGCGTGATGGCACCGGCAATGATACAAATCGAAGCACAAAGAAAGACGCCCTTTCTGCCAAAGAAGTCATTGATCGGAGCGGCGAGGAGGGCACCGATAAGTTCTCCCACGTAAATGATCGAGGCCGTGAGGGAGAGAAAGGTAGTAGTCAAGGCAATGCCTCCCTCCTCATCATGGGTAGTGCCATAGTCGTGCACAAATCTTTTCATCCCCAAGACTCCAGTGTAGTATATCTGGTCGTACCCAAAACAAAGCGCACCCAGGCTGGAGACAGCACAGAAGAAGATGGCCCATCTGTAATGGCCCCAATTGATGTTGAACAACTGCATCTTCATCATGGCATCTTCGGTTTCCAGCTGCCGTGCAAACAATTGTCCGAGACATGGAGATAATATAGAGGGTTGTCAATCTGATATTTGTACAAAAGGAACAGGTGCAAGCGGGACCATTCAATGTCTATCATGATAGGTAGCAATACCTCGTACGGTGCTTTGACCCAAGATGGTAAAGACCGTGGGTGGTGGTTAGCACTCACGCAGCTTAGATGTCTGCCACCGGTCACGGCCTAGACTGCAGAGATTTTGGTACCGGGTAGTGGCGTCACCCACAGCAAGGATGTTTTGAGTTCGGATGGCGAAGGATGGTTGGTACAGGCGTTGATAGGTCTTGGGGATCTCAGGGCTAGACGCAACTTGGTTGGATAGGGGGCCTGACCTGGACTTGCAGGGCTTTGGGGATTCGCCTAGCATGCCCTAGGATTGCCCCTCTGGCCAGACCCGCCGACGAACGGACACAACGGAATGAAGAATGGCTGACAGGGGCCCCAAAGGTATGTCTTCCAAGCTTGCCTCTATATGAGAGATGGTGACCAGCTGGTGGTGATGGTGGAACAGGCACAGGACGCATGGCGCTGCCGCTTTGAAATTGCCAGGAGACCGTAACATCTGGGTCCAGCTCACCGGACATGGTTGTCCAAGAGAAGCATCAGTGTTGCCTCACTCTTGTCTTCTCTCTGGCCCGATTGCATGCCGAATGAATGATGCTGATGAGAAACACGGCCAAGCGGTAATCTTTTGAGATCTTTGCGTTCGGTCCCTCCCACATTGATGTGGGCTTCTCTCATCTGTCATGTCACCATCTCGTCCACTCTCACTCGCAGACAGCTTTGTACTGTCCACCTTCATATTTCGCGCCAAAAACCATAGGATGGGTCCTCTATCAGCCTTGAGCAAAGTTTGCTTGCTGTCGGGGAAGGATGGAAGCTCCGAAAACAACAACCGAACACATCCAGTTGTGGACGAAATATGTTGCCATATGTATTGCCCTTCTCTCTGTATATGAGTACAAAAAATGCACCTGTTGGTAGACCTCCAATCGGGCCGACTGATTTCTCCTAGTGATTCTCTTGTCATTCGCCGATGGGAAATTTGCTCGCTTGCCCAAAGACCCTGGGAACAAAAGTCCGTGGTGTCGGCATATGGTTCGGAATCCAGATAGCACCGCCATAGTTCCGCTCTGTATCTGTTGAGCCAACAATCTCCTAAAGCTACGGGGCGTAAACGTTACAAGAACAGCCTCCGGTCGATCTCTGTTCCTGAAACTTGAGCTTGAGTTGGTTTTGACCAGTCCAACAAGGCTTCTCACGCGAACGCCGTTATAAATACTGGAAGGATGCCTTATATCATTGGGCTTAATAGTGGTTCCTCTTTCGACGGAATCGACGCTGTTCTGTGTAGTGTCGATATTGCCTCAGATGGCCATCCGAGTCGTCCAAGGTATATACACGGCATCTCTGAACCGTGGCCAGAGGAGTTGCAGTCCGATATTTTGCGGGCTTTCTCCAATGACCTCCCGGTGTTTGACCTGTGCAGGCTAAACTATGCTGCAGGTGCCGCCTATGCCGAGATAACCAACAAGTTGCTCGACAAGGTGGGAATGGTACCAGAAGATATTGATGTTGTCGGTTATGACGGCCAAACAGTCTACCAAGAGCCTCCCGACAGAGACAGGCAACAAGAATATGGTGCAAGCGCGAGCCAAAGCCTGGTTGATCGATGGACAAAGGGTGGATTTGCATGCGGTCTTTTCATCGTCGAGTCCGGTGTTGTCACAGCCCTGACCAACGTCACAACTGTCACCCAGTTTCGCCCGATTGACCATGCATTGGGAGGTTCAGGGGCGCCGCTCATGCAGTATCTCGATTTCTGCTCATTCCGCAATGAAGGGCCCGTCGTTTCCCTAAATATCGGTGGCATTGCCAATCTGCAACTTGCTGCCGCAGAACGGCAGAAGATGATGGCATTTGACACTGGTCCGGGCAACGTGATGATCGACCATGTGATGAAAGTTCGAGAAGGCAAGCCATATGATGCTGGGGGTGCAGTGGCAGCCAGAGGCCAAGTGATTCCTACACTTTTGGAGAGGCTTGAAGGTCACCAATTCTTCCTCCGGAAACCACCTCGTTCGGCATGGCGCCTGGACTTCGGGGGCCAGCATGTGGACACAATCCTGCACGATTACAGAACTGCATCGACCGAGGATCTGTTGTCGACTCTCACACTTTTCACGGCAAAGGCAATCGAGCGATCGCTTGTTGAATTCATTCTGCCCAAAGCGGCTGTAAAGACGGTCGTTGCCAGTGGAGGTGGTACCAAGAACGAGACGCTCATGAGGCACCTGAAGGGGATGCTGGCCCTACACGGTGTAGATCTTCGCATCAGCGATGAATATGGGCTTCCTGCCCCATTCAAGGAAGCCATCAAGTTTGCAATTTTGGCATTTGCGTGCAAACAGGGGCTGGCCAACAATATTCCCGCGGCTGGCGGAGCCTCCTCCTTTGCTGTCCTGGGCAAACTGAGCTTGGCACCTAGACTAGCAAAGAACGGTGGTGTCATCTCAGAAAGTGACATCCGTCCGGGGGATGGATTGGATGAGAGCTGACCTGCTGGAGGAGTTGGCGATCAACACGATCGGGAAATACTCCCTGATGGTACCGAGATTCCGAATAAGTTAGATTAAAGTAACGAAGCGCTAGCTCTGATGGCCGACCTGGCTCTTGTGGCTCGTGACAGAGTAAACGGGTGAAGCCGCACAGCCATTGCCCGTCCATGGAGTGGGTGGTGCACTCCTCTTAAAGTTTTGTCGAATGTTTCTAAGGATGTCCAACGATTCGCGAATGTTGGCAGGCCTGTTCAAGCCATTCTCAAGCACAACTTCGGCAAGGTCAAGTAAGTGATCCGGATCTCCATAGCCTTGTAGAAGGATTGAGATCGCCGATGTCTGAACCTGAAGGATGGTTGCATATGCGGCAACAAGGTGCTGGAGATTGCACCAACTCTCCAAATATTCGTGGCGGCCGGTTTGCTGTCTTCTCGAGTGCAGAAGAATAATCATGGTCGCATTCTGCACGCAGTTGTGGCAAGACTCGAACACCCACGAATCCTGGATCGGATCGTATCCAGGAGGATCAGGGTTGGAGGAGTTGACCGCGTTTTCATATTTCACGTGCAGCACGTGGTACAGTATAGGGCGATTGACAAGGAATATAGTTGCGTAGTATCGAAAACTCAACTCGTCCTGGAAGCATGAGAATCGTGCGTGGCAGAAAAGGATTCTTGGCTTACCATGATGTGCGACATATCTTCGGAGGCCAAACAGAAGGACGACGGGTGTCGAGGAAATCTCATAGTCAGGGGAAGGGTCCAGTACCACAGATCCAGACGCCGGGCAATATCGGTAACAACCACCGCAACATGTCTTGGGCGGCAGTAGGCTCGATCGATGTTGTACATGTGTTCTAGAATGGTGTTCATATAGGCCCTGAGCTGCAAGTGTGCCTGGAGTTCCCGAGAATGATAATTCTCGACCGACGTCGCAATTGGTGCGTTCGTAAATACATTTGGAAAGGTGACTACCATGTCTTGAGTGAGGGCAGTGACAATGATGGCATGCAGGCGCTCTGACGGTACTCCATCCACTTCGCTCAGGATATCGCTGGCCGACATTAGAACGTAACCATAACGAAAATCAGTTTGGGATACCTTTCTAGGAGATAATACTGGTATAGGCAAGCTTCATATTGGAGTTTGGCAGCACTGGAGACGTAGTCAGTGATGTCCTAAACAAGCTTTCGAACGGACTCTTACAAGCCATCGTCAGGTTTAGGGGCGGTATTATAGACGAGTGGTTCAAGATTTTGTAGGATCCCCAAGGCATGATATGGTCTTCCGTACAGGTAGAGCAGCATGATGACAAACAAGAATCTGAAGGGCAGTGCCTGCGGGCTTTGATGAGCTTGCACCACCCACATCTGTTGAAGAGCATGCCGGAAGGAGAGATCTGCTTTGTCACCCAGCACCGTCTCCCTTGTAACGATGGCCATGTGTTTGAGAGCAATGGCTTGCACGAGGAGCTCCTCGATGGATTGCATCTTGAAGGCTAGGATGACGTCGTGTCCGGGCGGAGCCTGTAAATGTTGATGAAATAAGTCGAGACACACTTCTTTCGCCAGTCCCCCAGACAAAAAGAGATGCCTCAGGACGAAAGGCAGATTGTCCATGATTGCAAACATGGACTCGATACCTTTGACCACGACGGAAGCAGAAATCTCTGCGGCAACTGGGGTTTCGAAACCTGCGCTAAAGAGACCTGTGTCGTTGTCGTCCACTCGGCCGACGTATTCAAGAGGCTCCAAACCGGGAATATCAAGGTTGAGCCGAAGGTTTGTCCAGTAGTTGAACATTTTGTGTGCGGCAGCGTGGTGGAACTGTGGCACTTGTGGCCAAAGCTTGAGAATGGAAGTCTCTTGAACAGGAGAAGCCGCAGAGGCGGAATCTATGCGACCATGGTCAAGGGCTTGTAGCCGCGTCTCAATGTGTGTGAGACGAACCAGTAGAGATGCGTCTCTTGGGATTCGAGTCAGTGTAACGGTCCTCTCTTCAGGCAGCGATTGGCGAGGCTACTTACGTTTCCAGGCTGACCAAAGGAGGACGATAGACACATTCCAGCTGCGTGGACACGCAGTGGGAACATGAAGGACGACCCCCATCACATCGAGACTTTCTCTTGCGACACGTGTCACAAGCCAATTCCGTCTTGTTGCGTTTTGGACGGCTGTTACGGTCCGGCACAGACTCTCGAGGCATCTTGGACACAAGACAAGTGAAGAACGTTACAATCACGCTGGCAAAGAGGCGGCGTTTACTGTCATATTTGGTGCTTTCGATCAGAAGGAAGCAGGGCTTGAGCGACAAGCATATAGCTGTTTGTAGGAATCGCAAGCGATTGCAGAGTCCAACAGCCAAAGTGGGAGGTTAGTTATTGGTGCAGAGTGGATGGACGGGGAATGCCTGTCCGGCAGATGGTGCGAGGCTTCCGACCTGGGTCTCCAAACGGCCGAGAATTGAGGCAACCCGGCGTGTCCATATTCGACGAGTGGATGGAAACGGGTAGCTCTCGGCGAGTGCGAAGCCCTCTGGTGGATGCGTGTCGTGCATGGTCGAGGTCGAAAGTTTCAAAATGGTGGGATGAGGCGCATGGAGTTTGTGATGCGCCGTATAATTGAGTGCAGTTGTGCGGTGGATCATTAGTCTAGTGTCACAAATCTGCGGTGCTTCCTGCGCTGGGTGTGCGCCATACTTGCGCCATCCTGCGCCCTCATGCAACCTCCTCCCACATTCATCCACTTCACTGGTCATTGACACCCCTGCTCCAGCTGCTTTTCAATACATTTCACTACCTGTCACTTTTTGTTGTATCTGTTCCCCGCAAGCCCTGGCTCTTCCTTGTGCTCAATGTATCGTTCATCAGCTGTGGTAGGGCGGCTGAGCTCTCGTGTCCTGGAATCATGCGCACAATGGTTTACGTTTGTTCCAAAGCCACCTGAAGTACATTAGCCTGACTCCAGTCCCTTGCATGCCTCCCCATTCCTTGTAGCACCGTCGGCGAGCATACCCGCGCCATTGAGATTTTCAATCGATGATTGTCCTAACGATTCTTGGTCAGTGACATTTGATCGTCTGTTCGTGCGGTCTAGACCAACCTTATCATCAGACAGAATAACATTTCGGCCTCCTCCGTGCAGGAACTCAAAGTGTCTGGTCGAGCAATAGTGCGGTGCCAAATTAACGGGACGCCTAGTGTGGGTCAATCATTGGGGTGAAGTGTCACACATAAGTGACAACCACAGCTTGCAGAGATCCACACGAAAGAATGTGGTGCAATAAGAGGGGCCGTGGTAGCTGTTTCACCATCAATCGCCACTATTTCCCTGCTTTCCGGACTGGGATTCAAGACCTGATACTGAATTCGGGGTCGGTCTAGATCAGACATCACATCAACCTGAGCTCTTTACGTGCCAAAAACAGTGCCGATGTTGGAACAACTCTGGGCAGGAATATGCAGACGACGTTGCATCGCTGGCATTTCCCGGAACACACGGACGACACGAAACCGAAGAAGCCACTCAGAAAACCTGGATACCTAAAGACAAGGGGGCGTAGGTATCAATTCCGAATATATCGCCTTGCATCAAGCCAAGAACACCTTCAATTAGGTAATTGGCGAGGCGAGTATATCGGGATCCTAGCCCTTTCTCGGTCCACGGATCGGGTGGTGCTATACTCTTGCTCGTACATCTCGCCCGTCCACACATGGCCCTAGGGCGGTTGCTTTCAACTATAGCTGACGGATTATCAACTCAGTGTTCTACAAGGTATATTGAGTTTTCGAATATGACGTTCCCAAATCGAGGTAAAAGTTGGCTGTCCCTTTTTGTGGTACTATTACAACCCAGTGGTGCATCTGCGAGTCAAGCTGATCCGGAAACCGACTGTGCTACCTTCCGCACGATTCAAGCGATCCTCATTGATTGAAAATTGCCACCTTGGAGAGGCATTCGTGCCGATCCTGACCTGACTCTTGGTGGCACGAGGCGGGTGAATGAGTATGGTCAAATTTGCACAAGATTGACTGCAGGGGTCGACCAGCTAGCCGCGCCACATCCTTGCGGCCCCCGTGTTTCGTTATTATGCCCATGCTACTCTCTGAGTCTCGCTATGTCCATCCAGTTCCTTCGAATCAGCAACGAATCTACAAAAGATTCATCCTCGTGGCCTGTATAGTCGAACGGAGCTTTAGGTCCTGCAGAATCCTTGAAATACAACTGACGCTCCTGATTATCGGTCGACCTACGTACCAAGCGCAACTTTTGCAGCTGAGAACAATCCCTTTGGATCGAAGAATAACCGCGGGAATTCAAAGGGGTGATATTGAAATGTCGACGTCGAAGTTGATGCTTGCAATGAAAACACAACGCCGCCATTACAGAGACTGAACTGTCTTGCACAAGTTTCAAGAGTGGTGCCAAGACGACTGGATGGCATCTCATCCATATCTGGGTCAGTCAATAGGAGAGAGGTGTCTCCAGCACTCGATATACACACTCGATGAGCAAAGCGCCCGAGGTAGGTCAAACGGGAAACAGTAAATCGAGGGCATCCGTCAACAGATACGCCAGCACGGTTGTCGTTGTCCTCGTCCCGACGATTTACCCGAACCCCTATACCCCGGTGTTAGTATTGGCTCTGAAGTCGATCTTGAGGGTGACTCAGCTGAGTCTCGTCGTCGTGCCCGAGATTGAATCTGGAATCATCAACTACTACAAAGATCCTCAAAGGAAAGGGCACATGCATATCCCGCCATTCTGGGCATGTCCTCTATGGATTCCTTCAGGACGCTAGTCCCGGTATGAACAGGGAGTTGTTCATGCCGCCGGCGAGTCTCTCCCTTGTCTACACGTTCCTCCTGTTCCTTATGTTACTTGGAGATTTACGGAGCAGTTGAGAAGTGTCGCTGGGCGATTTTTCCACCAGACTATGAGCCATAATGACCAAGTACCGCCTCTGAGCCCCAATATTTCACTTTTGTACGCTTTTCAAGTAATCCTGACACTCACATGTACGGAGTTTTCCTACCACTATGCGACGTTGATGCTTTGTGTACTGGACTGATAAGATAAGATGGATCTTACATGCACAATTAGCAGCACAATAGCAGCACAAAGTCTCGATACTTGTAGTCGCTCATTCGGCACCTAGTCGCCGAGCTCCCCACCAAAGACCCGCATATACCTCGGCACCACAATAAAATCAGGACATATATTAGAGTCACCAAAATTGCCCTGAAATCAGGGCGGTGGCATGGTGTAATGGTCAGCATGTATCGTTGTGGTTTGCGCCTGTCTCTCGTTTACCGAGTTGACGCTCGAGGCGTGTCCAGCTCCGATCCGATCCCGGTTCGATTCGTACGTCTATCTATCATAATATCTCTGGGGAAAAATAATTCTAACAGTTCACAGCGGGTGCCGCCACATTCAGGCGGATAGCGTCCTTATTTTTGTTTTTTTTTCTCTCTCTCCTTGTTTGTACTTGTATGTCGCTTTTAGATGAAGTGACTCCAGTACACAACTTTGTATGGTAGGCGACGGAGATATCTAGCATCGAACTCACACTTTGGTCCTTTTTTCTTTTATAGTTTTTGTGTATAGTAAATCGACCAGAGGGAGATAGTACGGAGGTGAGAGTCGAGTCTCACTGCAAAAACGTGACTGACTCACTCCTCGAATATATCTGCTCGAAGCACACGAACGAGAATCGAGTCAAATCTTGCAATGCGACTTCTTATTCTACGGTGCTGGTACAGATGCCTGGCATTTTTTTTCTTTTCACTACAACCAGTCCCCCAAGCCCATGGACCTAAACCACTACCTCCAGGTAGATCTAAGTAGATGGGGTTGTCAATGCCACAGCTTCTGTCCTCGTTGATGCTTGTTCCTGCTGCGCTCACTCTCCTCGAGGGCATATGTACTATGGCTGTCCAACTCGGCATGGAGCTTGTTCTTTGCTTTGCAGCCGAGAGATTTGTGGGTGTTCTCGTGAGTCTTGCTCCGCTCCCTCATATGACTTGGTTATGGCCCATTGAGTCCTCGAGAAGATTCTCGCCTGCACATGTCTTGCATGTACTTGTACGTCGTAGGAATGGAGGTCGGCTGCTCTACGGGGACATGGTTCGTCCACAAGGGTCAAACGAAGATTCCCTGGGCAAGGCCAAGGACGTGTGCGACAAGTCAGTCGGATTGAGGCGGTTCTTTAGTTGACTCGAGTGATTGAAAGATACAAAAAGGGTTTTGCATCCTTGAACTCTCCGTGATTTTCTTCATCTGTGTATTGCGACTCTTTACGACTGGGTGGGAGGACATGGTCGCGTCTTGTTGACACCGGGACGTCGTCTTCGAAGGAGGGGGGGACTTGGTTGATACCGGACCTAGCCTATGTACATAGATGGTCAAGAACCAGTCGAGACACAACTCACATTCACTAAGAGGTTGGAGTGAGAAAACTCAATGGCATAGTTTCTGGGTCGTGAGGGAAGGATCGATGACTGCGTGCAAATCTGTGAGACTTGGCGGGTAGATCAAGACCTCGGGTCCCCGCCCAGTGTCAATGATTTCGATCCAACTATTAAGCGGTGTTGGTCCGTTACGCTGCATCCCGAGAAGAGACAGACGGAACACCCCTGGAATAGCCCAAAATATGCAGCATCTTCCCAACAGAGACTACCCAGGAAAGAGCACCTTACAGCTTCTGCATCTGCTGGCCAGGCGCAGATTCTTGGAACAGGATGGGAAACGACATCATCGAACACTGCAAGCCAGATCCTACGTAGTCCGGAAGAGATGAAACAGATTATTAACCAGGCCCCCAAGATCAAGGACTTCTCCCCCTCAAGAGGGCCAGCCCAGGGCGAGTCGGTCCCGAGCGGGAGGTGCCATTTATGGTGCCAAATAATTGGTGCCCAGCAAACCTTGTCGCAGAGAGACCAGCGCAACTCTCTTTTAGCCCTCATACGACAAGGGCGTGACCTGCAATCCTGGAATCCGTTCAGGCCATGCTCGTTTTTGATTGTGTGGCTTCACGCATCTGGGTTACTCATCTTTCCTTGAACCAGGGAGTTGACGAGAATCTGGCAAGAGGAGCTTATGTCAATCGTTCCTATCCAGGTCCAAGGGATGTCTCACCGAGGCATCTGTGCCACGAGTGGTGCTTAGTGATTTTTCCCAACTCTCCCAAAGCTGGGACCAGTCGGCGGCGCTGGCCGGATGGGAGACATCCTATTGGTTGTCTATATGCCTCGATTCGATCCTTTGTCTCCGAATGAGGATAACGTCGACCCTGTCTCTGAAGATCTGCATTGCGGGGGAAAATCTGTTCCACAGCTTGCCGCAAGCCTGTGACATGGACTTTGTGGCACAGAGAGAGGACGAGGACTGGAGAGGAGAAGGTTTTGCAGGACTCGCGCATTGAAGCCTATCTCATCATTAGTAGCCATTCACGCTGACCCGCCATGTGGACGCCATGAGGAAAGCGAGAGGCGTAAGTGTCTCAACAACCAAAAAATCAAATCTGTAACCATGAGGTTGTTGACACCGATAAGGGGGTTCTGGATGCAGTCTACCGCAAAAAGAGCACGAGAAGAGCCAATCGCTTGACGTGCGGCCAAACGTTTGCGAGGCCAGGTACCATCCGGGAGAATGTGCGCGAAGCAGGCGAGCCACAGAAAAAGCATGTGCTGTACAGGGGGTCGTGAGATGCAGAAGAGTGAGAGAGAGTGCAGCAACGCGCAGTGAGACCAGGCCACATTGGGAAACCATGGATTGGCGATGACGTTGTGCGCTGGTCTCTGAATGGCTCTGCTTGGTCCAATTCGTCCCAACCAGATGCCAGACAAAATCGCGCACGGCGATACGTCGGCGGAGAAATGTCGGCTCACCAGATGCGGAAAAATCATATGGGATGACTTCAAACCGCAGACGCAGCCTTGCTTTGCCCGACGAGTCCATTGAAGTATATATGAGACAGCATGTCCGCCCTTTGCCGCTGGTCTCGCTGTTGCTGTTATAGCATTGAGACACGATTCAATTGCACTGTACGCAAAAAGTACCACCATACCAATCACTTACCACAACAGGGCAAGAAGTAAACACACCCTGTCACCCTCTGACCCTCACACACTCTCACACACACAATGTCTCGACAAGTCACGCGGGAGAATCCTCCCGAGGGCCCTCACAGCCCTGAACTCGCACAACACCAAACTCTCAACCTCCAGCTCCTCCGCACAGAGACCCGACAGACTCTAGCAGAGCGTGGCATCTCAGAAACACCTCCTCCCCTCGATCCCAACTATCCCGAGCTCGGCCGTCCCGAGCAGCCCATCTTCCCCGAAGAATACACGCTCGAGACAGAGACCGGTCTCGTACCCCAGCAGACCCTCGAGCAGATCCGATCGAGAGTCACAACGGTAGCTTCACGGCGGCGGACTCGTGTCAGCACACCCTCAGAGCCGGACCTCGAAAAGCAAGGAGTCGAGGAACCGGTCGAATTCGTCACCTTCAAAATCAACGACCCCGACAACCCGCACAACTGGTCGCGGCTTTTTCGGTGGTACATTACCATCGCCGCGTCGTCTCTGGTCGTCTGCGTCGCATTCGGCTCGTCGGTGGTTACGGGTGGCTTGGGACTCATTGAAGACAGGTACAACGTCTCGCTCGAAGTCGCCATCTTGACCTGCTCCATCATGGTCTGCGGTTTTGCCGTGGGCCCTCTGTTGTGGAGTCCCCTGTCCGAGATCATCGGCCGACAACCGGTCTACATCATTTCGCTCTTCCTGTACACCATCTTCAACATTCCGTGCGCGCTGTCGCCCAACATCGGCGGTCTGCTGGTCTCACGATTTTTGTGCGGTGTATTTTCTAGCTCCGGCCTATCTCTTGCCGGCGGCACCATCGCGGATATCTGGAACATCGAAGAGCGAGGTATGGCCATCGCCTACTTTGCCGCGGCACCATACGCAGGTCCTGTCATTGGTCCCATCGTGTCAGGCTGGATCAACATCGGCACAGGTCGGCTCAACCTGTTGTTCTGGGTCAATCTGGGCTACGCGGGCTTCATGCTAGTGGTAATGGGACTGATCCCCGAGACATACGCGCCGGTGATCCTCAAGCGTCGGGCGGCACGATTGCGCAAGGAGACAGGCGACCCGAACATCATCACGGAGCAGGAGAAGACAAAGCTGACGCTGAGGGAGGTGGTCAAGACATCGCTGGTGCGGCCGATCAACATGATCCTGACGGAGCCCGTGCTGGACTTGATGTGCATGTACATTGTGCTGATCTACGCGATGCTGTACGCCTTCTTCTTCGCATACCCGGTCATCTTCGGCGAGCTCTATGGGTACAACGACGGGGAGATTGGGCTGATGTTCATCCCCATCATCATCGGGGCAGCGTTTGCGCTGGTAGCGACACCACAGTTTGAGAAACAATTCAAGAAAATCTGCCATCTGCGCGACCCGACGGCCGAGGACCGCTTGATGGGTGCCATGGTCGGCGCGCCCTTCATCCCCATCTCGCTGTTCATCCTGGGCGCCACCTCGTACCGGGGCATCATCTGGGTCGGCCCAGCGTCGAGCGGCATCGCCTTTGGGTTCGGCATGGTGCTGTGCTACTACTCGGTCAACAACTACATCATCGACTCGTACCAGAAATACGCCGCCAGCGCGCTGGCCGCCAAGGTGTTTTTGCGGAGCGGCGGCGGCGCGGCCTTCCCGCTCTTCACCACCCAGATGTACCACCGCCTGGGTCTGCAGTGGGCCAGCTGGCTGCTCGCCTTTATCGGCGTCGCCATGGTTCTCATTCCGTTTTCGTTTTATTACTTTGGCGCCAAGATCCGCGCAAAGTTCAACAAGGGAGAATGAAGAATTCGGGGCTTGAACGGGTCCTCTTCATCAAAAGACCTTACCTGATAGAATATTTTGGGGAACAAAAAGGGGAGTCATCACAGCGACATTACCATTTACTCTTTTTTGCTGGGAAGTTTTTGTCACCCCCTTTTCTGGGTGGAGGCGGATGACAGAGCAGGGCATAGAAGGAATCGGAGTGTGGCGTTTACTCAGCTGAGTCTGAGGTCATGTCAGCCTCTCAAGTCAGATCAGATCAGATCAGCCCAGATCAGGACAAAAGCGAGATGCATTTGCAGAAAATGGCGTTTTTCAATGGGGAACTCGGACAAAGGAAGGAAGAAAGATTCATTGATTATTCTCGTTGCCAGAAATGGGTGATCTCTGAAGGGCATGCGCACGTGATGTCTTGGATATGTTGTATCCGAGACCCTGTGGGCCTGTCATGTGACTGTTTATGTAAGCGATATATGTATTAATATACAAGTTTCATACCTATCTCCATATAACCCTCCACCACAGTGCCCTGGTATCCACGTAAACTCTTGAGCCTATATCGAGTACGAGTACAAGTCCAAGACCGCGACGCTGCCTGCATCTTCATCTACATCTGTATCAGTTGTTCTTGTCCTTATGAGACCTTTGATTGACACATTGTCTCGGAAGGGGGTTGGACTGGACTGAGCTGAGCTGAGCTGGCTTACAAGTACCAAAGTACCAGCAATTCTCTGTCTTGCTGATGTATCATATCGTATCGTATCAGGCATGTCATTCTTCTCTTGTCTTCTCTTCCACATGTTGATGTTGAAGCAGCAGTAGCAATTAGCAAACAACATAATCCTTCGAATGAAACATGGCCACAGTAATAACCTGTTTCATACACATCAAATGCCCATCTTTCCACCCACCGCCCAGAGAAGATATCCATCCAATTAATTTTATTTCATCGTCAGCTCTCTCTTTCTCTCTGTCTGATGTGATGGTTCCCTCTGACATTTTTTGGGGATCTCTGACCATGCATGATTAACCTTCACATCACATCTCTCTTTGAGTTTTTGTTTTGTGTCCAGCCTCGCTATGCTTTGAAATGCCGACATCATGCGTCCACCCTCTCGCGTTTCGCTTCGTTTGAAAAAAGTGTCTCTTTTCTCTTTCTCTTCCCCTCGTACATTGGCTGATCGTGGCCCTTGAAAAGGCAAGCAATCCAGGTGTACGCCGTTCGCCTGCTTTGCCCCTCGATACAATACAGGGCCAGCCCACGCAGTAGCCCATGTTGATGCAAATGACAAGTCTCCCAGCCATAATGTGGATTATATCCCAAAATATTGGTGGATTCCCGCGGTATGCTGGTGCTTGTTTGTGCCCCATCTCAAAAGATCCCAAATTTCTTCTTCTTTTCTCCTTCTGCTAGTATCCATGTTAGCGTTGCAAGTCTTCAGTGGCCAAAGGAAAAAGAGGCTCTCTCACCCTGAGGTCCAATATTCCCCGTGCTCTTACTGGTGGTCAACGCTGCCTTTTTGCCAGCTGCCGCCGTGAGAGGATCTGCTCCTGCACCGGCTGCCCGGATGGCGGCAATGCGATGTTTGGCTCTCTCTTCCCCTTGATCCGCCGCACGAACGTACCAGACGTTTGCCTCGAGCGGGTCACGGCGACATCCAATGCCCATCTCAGTGAAATAGCCAACAGTGTACTGCGCCTTGGCCAAGCCCTGTTCAGCTGCTTTTTTGGCCCATTCATAAGCTTCGACCTCGTCTTTCTCCAGGACGTTGGGAACCCCCACCATGTACCATGCACACAGCGCCATTTGTGACAGTGCATGGCCACGTTCAGCAGCTCCGGTGTAGAAATGGATGCTGAGAGCCGGGTCTCGAGGGCAGTTCAGCTGTCCATATTCATATGCTTCGCCGAGTCGGTAGTTCGCTTCGACGTGCCCTAGATCGGCTGCTTTAGTGTATAGTTGGGCAGCGTACGCCTCGTCTTTGAACACATCCGGACCGAAGCCTGTCTCGTGTAGGCATCCCAGGTCAAAAGGAGCTTGGTTGTACTGGAAATCGGCAGATTCCGCCGCCCGCTTCAGCCATCTCACACCTTCTCGATATCGCTTGGTCAGCCCCATGTCGCCCGTTAGACATGCTCGTCCCAGCCGAAGCATGGCACCGGGATGATTCTTGCTCGCAGCATGTTGGTAAAACTGAACCGCTTTTGCTGCATCCACCCGTGACCCCCAACCGAACTCGTAACATAATGCCGTGCGGTACCCGGCCTCGGCATGACCGTGTTTAGACGCCGCCAGAAATAGTGGGAACGCACGCTCCCAGTCTTCTTTGCCCTTGTTGAAAAGACCCGAGGCGTACCCGTCTGCGAGGTAGTACTGGGCAAAGGGGTATGATCGGTCTGCCAGTCTTTGCAGAATATGCTTTGCCTCCTTTAGGAGATCCTCGCGGACCGATGTATGTGATTTCTCAGAATGTGCCGCGTCCGATACTGTGTCAGACTCTAAACCCTCTTCTTGCGCCGCGCTGATCATGAAAATTGCAAATTCGTATTGCACAGCAGGGTCCTGGGTCTTTTTAACGTTTGCTCGATACATGTCCAGTGTTTTCCTCGTTGACATTAATGAGGCATTGGCTCCCACAACCGACCGGAGACCTGAGTTCACCAGATTTTCTGCTCCGCTCGGCGCAGGTTGGGGATATGGGACATTCAGAAGATCGACGTAAGAGAGTGGCCGTGTATCGGGTGACCTAGAACCGCGCGAGACAGGTCGACCAGCGGGAGAGGCATGTGGTGAGTTGGTCCGCCCGCGGAAGTCGGATGTGCTCGAGAATCCCGAATCAGGTCTTTGCATGCTTCTGCCATAGATGCTATTGCGAACGCTGTCTCCTCCAGAGCCGTCAGTGGCAACGGTTAACCTCGAGGCTCGCTTGTTCAACGCTGACATTTCGGCATCCTCTGCCCACTGGTGGTGATACCGCAATGGCTCCGAAGTGGCAGCAGGGATATCTGACTCAATGGCAGAGGTTGACGCGTGCCGCATGGACTTCTTTTGAAACGGTGTCAATTCGATGCCGTCCCTCGAAGACAAATTTTCTGAGGAAACCCTTCGATGGTCAGCAACCACTGGCTCACCATCTCCAGGTCGCCCTCGAAACATTGCCTGAGGCGTCGGTGAGAGCCTATTGGGATCGAGATGCAAGGACGGCTGAGGAGTCAGTGTCCTATTTGGTGCCACAGGATCAGGAGTTCTGGACATGGCGGTTTCGGGAGGGTGAATTTGCACTCCAGCAGCAGCATCTGCGAGAGCGTGCACATCGTCTGTTGGTCTTGTGTCCGCTGGAGACATGGATATCGAAGGATAGCTCATCTGTCTCGACTGAGAACTACCTTGCTTGAATGTAGACACATTTACATTTCCCCGCTCTTCCATAGGTTCCATGATCCGAGGACTCTCGCTTCGCAGAGGAGGAGAGTAGATGGCAGGTGGGGGAGTCGGAGGGAGAGGATGGCTCGCTAGTTCAGCCATCTTGACGCAGAGGAGAGTATCCTAGAATACCGACATCTGGAGGAGATTCGTGGGATGGGAAGTGAGGCAAGGTTGGCTCAAGGAGGATAGTTTCGTTCGCCGGACAACTGAATAGGTGGTTGCAGAGTCAAAAAAGAGCCAGCTGGCGAGACTCTGGAATGTGAATTTCCCGACCGTAATAAAAACGAAAGCAACAGGGGGGCTGGTCTCCTGGAGGGCCCGCGCTGAAGAGGTCTTAGAAGGAATGCTGTAGTGTTTTATGTAGCGCCGCCAGCTTGAGGCGCGGGCTCCAAAAGAGAATGCTTGTTTAGAGAGGAACAGAGGTCGACACGACGTCCCAGCAGCGGGAAAGTGACAGAATGAAGCACAGATGCACGGCTCAGTATGAACAAGGAAGCGAAACAATTCGGAAAGGAAGGGTGGAGGGTTGGGAGGGACGAGAGGGACGAGAGGGACGAGAGTGAGTGAATTGAGTGTGACCACGGCTAAGAATTTCGATGGAGGAGATGCTGGTAAGGGAGCGAGGGTGGTAGAGGGCTAGAGCAAGTTAGACATCCCCACTGCTGGCATCTCTTCGACGACTACTAGACTAGGAATGACTACTGCCTTGTACTTGACGTGCCTATTCTCCCTGGCTTTTCCTATTATTGAGGGCCCGTTCCCCTTTTTCTAACAGACGGACAGCGGGCGCCGTCTTTATTTGCGTGGCTAAAATAGGTGGACGCTTTGTCTTGCAAACAAAACCGAGACCCTTTGACGTCCACTGGGATTTGTTTTGTCCCCTGGGTAGCACCAAAGCAGATGCATGTCTGGCATACTCGGTACACACACATACGTATGCAGGGAGAATGGAGCATGCAGGAGATCTTTCCTGGCTCTGACCCAGATCCAAGGGGACTAGGCACCCATGGCTGCCCAAGTCTCGAGCAAGGGTGGCCCATTGGGGGGCGAATTAAAGTACGGGCGTGCCCGAGGTTCTCGTCGGCCCACCCGCCATTACGAGTTGGCAGGTGATGCAAGCTTGGAGGGATTCGCAGGCGCCTCCAAGTTACTGACTGTGTGGTGTGGTACCTACCGAGGAAGAGGCTGCCTATGTGGCGCCTGGAGAAGAACCTGGTTCATTATTATTCCCTGACTCTTGTACTCGGTACTGTACCTACTCAGATGAGTACACTACCCTGCTAGGTAAGGGATCCACGTCCACGGCAATGAAACTGAAAATTGGCTTCGGAAAGGCGCGGCAAGCCCACAAACCCAACTAACAAAACGATCCAGCACACACTGTCCTGTTACGAGTCCATGCTACTGAGTACACAATCACCCCAAACTCAGGCTGGCCGCCGCATCGCCTGGCACAAATACAACGTGCAAGGGTGGTCAGATGAGTGACGCTGTGCACGTACTAGTCACCAATTTGTTCCTTTCCGGATGACTGCAGGCCCGTATTCGATCATATCGGGGAGCACGAACATGTACCAAGTATGTACAAGCATGAATCCATCCTCTATACGGCAAGTCATGTTTTTTTGCCCTCGGAAGAGTGAGACATTGTTCTGGTGGTCCAATCCTCCCGTACCGAGTACATCTACTTGTATACATCTACTCACAAATCATCGTTACCATACGAGGTGCAGATCCGCCGTCCCATCTTAGCTCAACTCGATTCCATCCCTACGGCATCGACACCAGCGGCGAGTTACTCAAGTTGATGGGTGTGGTAGTTTCAACAAAGGTAAATGGTGATAGGTTGATTTGTCCAGACAAGCGCAACTCTATGTAAGGGACACCAGTGTTTAAAAATACTCGATGAGAGAGCATCACTGGTGTGCTGCTTAGCCACAACCGAGCCTCTCACATGCGCAGTTGGACCAGACGAGATCTCACCACGGACTGCGCGAACCGGTAATCTTTTGTTGTCCATCAACCTGTTTTCGGAGTACTATTTGGAAGTTAAAATCTGTGTGCGAGAACACACACAATGATACAAGCTACTCGATCTCTTCAAAAAAAACTAAACTGGTTCAGGAGGTCCCTAGCTCAACTTGTACGCGTCAACAAGGGACTCAGGAGAAGGCGGGAAAACTGAAGCAAAAAAACATTGAATTGGGTTCGGAGGATATCTTTATTCGCCTCTGGAGGGTGGCCTCTTGTTTCTCCTGTATGATGCGCTAGGTCCGCAACGTAGCCAATCCTGACTCTTGGGATAGAACTCCATCGGACAAGCCACGAATCGTTTGTTGTGGCCTCTCCACACTCGAAGCACACGGCGACACAGTGACACAGCCAAACCTCCCCCGATCCTTGTCTTGTCGTTACCCGGTTCTTGTGTCTACCTGTCGCCGTGTTTGTCCTTCTGTATTGCTAACTCACTATCAACGGTTTCCTTTAGCACATGTACATTCTCTGGTCATCTCAACCACTCTCGTTTGACCATCTCTGTAATCGAACAAGCCGTACATCTTTGTCTTTTCGCTTAGGTCAGTAACGCAATCTGAGGCGCAGTTTCTTCGGCAACCAATTCGTTGTTTCACCCCCAAACAGACAACAACCAACTGCAAAAGTGACGAGCAATCTCAACCGAAAGATCCTGTCTGTGCAAAGCCATTCGATACACGATAGACCGCATTATACTTTGGAGCCTCTCGTCGCACACTTGAGAGTCTGCTCAGAGATACAGCGCAGGCGCTGGTCTCCAACCCACGCTCATTCTTCCACTGGAAAGGCCGAGACTACGAGATTTCCTATGAGGGAGAGCAACTATATCTCAGCAAATGTATGTTGAGGATTGTCACAATGACATTATTGATGCGTGCCCCGGCAACCCACTAACATTCTTTCTCCCTGCAGAACTGATCAATGTCTGAACCACCTCTCAGGCCCCGGCCTGCTACCTCGCCCACTCGCGAAAAGTCCCATTCTCCTTACAGAGACTCTCCTTCTCGACGATTACGCGATCTTGAGACTGGAGCAAATGTCCAACGCAACTCTCCATACTCGGCTCAGCGCATTGGAGCCGACCCCTACCCTCCCTCACCCAGCTCCAGAACCGCGGACTGGGAGCCCATCATGTCAAACCCTATGAATCAGAGTGATCTCGGTCGCAAGAAATCCCTGATCCGTCCCGAGCGCAGTCGAATAGACCGAGATCATCCCAACTACCACTATCGCAAGCATGCGCAGAATATGGAGGTCTTCCCCTCCACCACTGGGAACGATCCTGTGGTGGAAGAATTGGTGGAACAGAGGACGGTGAGCTCTGAGAGCACCAATCTCAACATGCCAGCCGACGAATCCTTCGGGACTCAACCCACTTCTCGTCTACCTGGGAAACTTGAGCCTGTCGGCAAAAAGAGAAAACCTCGAAAACTGGTTAGAAAAGACACTCGCGATATGACGGCCGAAGAGAAGAGGCGGCTGAAAGAAATAGAAAAGCTCAAACCTCCAAGTGCTTGGAATGTGTACTGTGCCGTGGTCACTTTCTGGGCCCCTAACTTCATATTACATTGTTGCGGAATGCCAGGAAGGGCCCAGAAACGAGCCTGGAGAGAGAAAGTCGGTTTGATCAGCATCATCTTGCTCATTGCCGGCTTTGTTGGTTTCCTAACTTTCGGCTTCACCCGGGCAGTCTGCCCGGCCCCGGGACTGAGATTGAAGATCAACCATGTTGATCGTGGTTACATGATATTCCACGGAGATGCCTACAATCTTGATGGTTCCATGCACCCTGCAGCACGGGGAGTTCCTCTCGACAGCAATGTCCTCTACGACCTCCCGCACAAGTATGGTGGTCAAGACGGAAGTTTCATGTTTCAAAAAGTCAATGGAGAGTGCAAAGGTCTCATCACTCTCGCACCCGGTTCCGATGTGCCTACGGATGCCGATGGAGATCTTGCTTGGTATTTTCCTTGCAACGCCTTCAATCAGGACGGCTCGTCGCCGCCAAACCTCACCAACCCCTATTATCTGGGCTATGCTTGCCACACTACCGCCAAGTCTAGAAATACGTTCTATAGCCTGAGAAAAGCGGGAGAAGTCTTCTTCACTTGGGACGATCTCAAGAACACCAGTCGAAATCTGGTGGTGTATTCGGGTTCCGTGATTGATCTGGACTTGTTGAGGTGGTTCAACGAGAGTCAAGTGGTCTGGCCAAAACAATTTGACGACATGCGAGAAAGTGCCGAAATTCGTGGTACTGATATCACCCATGTGTTACAGTCTGCTGCGGATAAAAAGGTTGGCAAGTGTCTGGCCCAGATTGCCAAAGTGGGTTCGGTTGATACCGAGACGGTTGGGTGTATTGCATCAAAGGTTGTCCTTTACGTCTCGTTGGTGTTTATCCTCGCCGTCGTGTTGGTCAAGTTCTTCCTCGCCGTGGCCTTTCAATGGTTTTTGGCTGGGAAGTTTGCGGCCACCAAGACTTCGCAGACATCTGATCCGAAAAAGAGGGCCAAGCAGATCGAGGACTGGGCCGACGATATCTACAGACCGGCTCCAAAAATCACTGATCCTGCAAGTACAATCTCCGGCTCCGATGCGCGGGCCAGTAAGCGTGGAAGTCAGTTGTTCCCTCAAACATCTCGTTTCACCAGCCCTTATGCTGTTGAGCGTCTGTCCAAAACAAATCGCCCACCTCCAACTACGATGACCAGTCAGTCTTCCAATGCCCGATTGATTCAGCCAGGAAATGGCCTTTACAAAAGCGGATTCAACAGTAGTCAGAACACTCTGGACGTCAATTCTCGGATGAGCGTTGGTGCTAGCAGATCCAGCCTTCTCCTGTCAGGTCAGGAAGCCCGGTACTCAGCTGTGATGGACTCCCTCGAACCTGGTGGGCCTGTTGGTTTCATTCACGAGAACGTGGTTCCTCAACCACCTCCTGAGTGGCAACCATTTGGCTACCCCCTCGCTCACGTTATATGCTTGGTCACTGCATACTCGGAAGACGCAGATGGTGTGCGAACCACGCTGGACTCTGTTGCGACGACCGACTACCCTAACAGTCATAAAGCAATTTTGGTGATCTGTGATGGTTTGATCAAGGGCAAGGGGAACGACTTGTCGACCCCGGAGATTGTCCTCAGCATGATGGGTGATTTTGTCGTTCTTCCTGAAGACGTGCAGGCCTTTTCATATGTCGCTGTATCCAGCGGCTCAAAACGGCACAACATGGCCAAGGTTTACGCTGGATTCTACGATTATGGTCCGAACTCGAAGATCGATCCGACCAAGCAGCAACGAGTGCCCATGTTAGTGGTTGTCAAATGCGGAACCCCTGAAGAAGCCGGCAAATCTAAACCTGGTAACCGAGGCAAGCGTGACAGTCAGATCATTTTGATGTCCTTCCTCCAAAAGGTCATGTTTGATGAGCGCATGACTGAACTCGAGTATGAAATGTTCAACGGTCTCTGGAAAGTGACGGGCATGTCACCCGACTTTTACGAAATGGTTCTCATGGTCGACGCCGACACCAAGGTATATCCTGACAGTCTGACACACATGGTCTCTGCCATGGTCAAGGATCCCGAAATCATGGGACTCTGCGGTGAAACGAAGATCGCGAACAAAACACAATCGTGGGTCTCACGGATCCAGGTCTTCGAATACTTCATCTCGCATCATCTGTCCAAGTCCTTTGAATCTGTCTTTGGCGGTGTCACTTGCTTGCCTGGGTGTTTCTGCATGTACCGGATCAAATCACCCAAGGGCGGGCAGAACTACTGGGTCCCAATCCTGGCTAACCCCGACATCGTGGAGCACTATTCGGAAAACGTCGTCGATACACTGCACAAAAAGAATCTTCTGCTGCTGGGCGAAGACAGATACCTTTCGACACTCATGCTCAAGACCTTCCCCAAGCGGAAACAAGTCTTTGTCCCTCAGGCAGTGTGCAAGACGACTGTGCCGGACCAGTTCAAGGTTCTTCTATCTCAACGGCGTCGTTGGATCAACTCTACTGTCCACAACCTGATGGAACTTGTCCTTGTACGCGACCTCTGCGGTACATTTTGCTTCAGCATGCAATTTGTTGTCTTTATCGAGTTGATCGGCACCCTTGTATTACCGGCGGCCATCGCATTTACGTTCTATTTGATCATCATTTCCATCGTGGCCAAACCAGTTCCGGTCATTCCTCTTATTCTTTTGGGGCTCATTCTAGGTCTTCCCGCCGTGCTGATTGTGATGACGGCGCACAGCTGGTCATATGTCGCATGGATGGGTATCTACCTGCTCTCTCTACCGATCTGGAATTTCGTTCTGCCGGCCTACGCATATTGGAAGTTTGACGACTTCAGCTGGGGAGATACCAGGAAGACTGATGGAGAGACCAAGAAATCTGGCGGACACGGGGAAGCTGAAGGTGAATTCGATAGTTCAAAGATCCTGATGAAAAGATGGGGAGATTTCGAGAGAGGTAAGTTTCTCCCCCTTTCATGTATCATGTTCTTTGCTTTAGAACAAGACCTGACGTTATACACTACAGAACGTCGAGCACAAGCCACTGGCACAGGATGGGCACAGCATTCTCTCGGCCCCACGTCTGCAAAGGCAGCAACGGTCACGAGCGACTATGCCTCAAGCCACGGAGTTTTTGAGCCTTATCATGACTATTGAGGGCATCCGCCAGCGCGACCATACAGCGTACAGACACAAGCGACTCGGGGGAGAATAGACTGCTTTAATGTGTAACGAATCACTATAAACAAACCGAAAAGAAAAGGGAAAGGGGTGTACATCTGGCGTTTTGCGCGGATGGATTTTGCTTTTCTGAGATCAGGGGGCGGCGCCACGACGCGACATGACGACGGGGCAAGCGGATCTGCTTGAGACATCTGCTCAAGATGGCTAATAATTAGGGAACGGGGAGTCTCGCTCAGAGCAGAGCATCACATCGCATCGCATCTTGTTGGGGGGAGGAGGGGGGGGAATGGGTGGCTTTGTCATGACAGCTGGCGGCATTCTTATGGGGTGGTATCTGTCGTGGGATACTCTGGCGGCACGGGGCGGGCATACTCTCCGAGGATGGATGGTCTTCCACCTTATATATTAGCGTTGCATTAATTCTACCAGCACTCTTCACCTCTGATTTTGTATGTATGTACCTACCTGCCATGTACAAGTACTCGAGTCCTCGAGTCCAGAGTCTATACTTTCAGTTGGGAAAGTGTGCTTGGTGAGGCCACCGATATCTATTCAGACCCACCTTTATACCTCCTTGTCTTGTTATGTACCTACCTATACTTGTAACTCCAAGGATACAGTACAGTTGATTTATACAGTCCAGATCCGGTTAGCCAATCCACCAATCCACCACATTTCACATTTGTCTCAGTACCTACAGCACGTGTACGTGTGCTTGTACTTTTACCTGTACTTGTTCTCGTTCGTACTCGTTCACGCGACGTTATCTGATCATTGCCTACCAAGCCTGCCTACTCCATTGCATGTACCGTATTGTACTGTATCCAGCACTAACTAGGTAGTACCTACTAAAGACCCACAGCTTTTGACGACACGACGCATTACATATACCAGTACCGACGCAGCTCCCCAGGGCTGACTGGATGAATGATTGTTGGAATACCTCTTTGTAGATAGGTGTCGGTTCTACATCTGATATGTACATATATGCTCAGTCAAGAACTTTTTCAAGAGCCTCCTCCTCGTTCTTCACTCGGATTCTCTGGGCAAGGAAAAGGCTGAAATGTTGTACAGGCGGTCGACCACATATGTGGGCTCACGCACTATAAAATCCTCCACAAGACCTCGCTATTTTATAGAGTCGATCGACGGTGATAAAACACTTCGTCGCCATTGCAGTTCTTGCCTCTAAAGTGTCGCATGGTTGGCTCCTCTTGACAATCCCAAGTTTTATCGTCTAGAGCAAGGACGATTCGCCGTAAAACGTTTGAAACTGCACACATGCGGTCGATTCAACTCTCACTCCATGCGCTCAGTAGAGGTTGTTTTGGTGGGGACATGAGTCCTGGCCCATGCCTCGTGCGTGTACCCCTGCACCCCTGTGTATTCGTCCTCTTTATCGCGAATCGCCCAAGCTGATTCGCGAGCAGAAAGGACGCAGTCACTCATTCCCGGAGCGCCTCGCCACCAGGGACCTGCGACTTTTAGCCGTCCGTGGAAGGTGGACGTTATTGCTTCATGAATGGTGGCCATGTCCTGAGCATAGCCAACAGGATACTGTGGTATACAGTTGCGATTGAGCCGCGCTTTGGCCACGGCCGGAGATTCCATGATGTTGAGGTGTCTTCTCAATAGAGTCTGCGCCATTTCGATTGCTTGTTCTTCAGTAGGAAGGTCGCTTGGTGCCCATTCACTCCACCAATGCCCACCCATCATGACCGTCAGCTTCGTGCCTGGTGCGGTGTCCTGCAAGACAGGGCCTGATTCACCATGTGGTGGATCCGGATCCAGTGGGCTACCCGGGTCGCTGTCAATAGACTCAAAGTAAGAGCCGTCAGAAGGAGAGGCAACTGCATCAGACCGACCCGATGTTTCGGAGCTGAATAGGACGCCCAGTGCTCGTTCAGGATTCTGTTCGAGTGGCACAGAGCGCGGAATAAGATAGCCAAACCCTCTCAGTGAGGGGGACAGCAAGTCTGGATTGTTGTAGTAGAGATTGATAACCATGACATTGACGGAGCAGTCGCTGTGTTCACAGGCTTTTGTGACCTTGGGATCCAGCGTTGAGCCCGACGTTTGAGCGCTGCTGGTGAGAAACTGTTTCAGTGTTCGAGGACCCAGAGTTGAAACCACATAATCATAGTTTGAGGTGGTTCCAGCTGGCGTTTGCGTGACCGACACTTGATTCTTGCTGTCGTTGAACACGACATCCTTGACTTCGGCCGAGCGCAAGATGGTGATGTTCTTGTTCTTGCTAAGCTCTTGTTCCAACGCAGAGGTTATCTGGCCCAAGCCTCGCCGGAACGTATAAACACTTACTTCGGCGAAGCTGTCCAAGTTCGGCACTCTTTTGAAATAAGTCTCTCGGGACTGGAGCGCGAGAATCTGCCGGTGCACATGCAGAGCAACATTGACAGGCGTGAGAGTAACGCGGTTCACCATGTTGGACAAGATTTCCAGAAGGACCCCAGGCGTTCTTTCTCGGTCACGGGTCTCAAGGTGCCACAATTGCGGCAGCAAAGTCCTGGCGCTAAGCTTGTAGATGTCGCCAGCGAAAATCCCATGACATACAGCCGAAAGTAAGTTATCTGCGATGTCCCTGGCAAACCGTCGCGATACGAAATCTCCAACAGATTCGTCGTTCACATCTTCATCTCGGGGAGCCACCCACGGCTCTCTGAAACATTTCAGAATCCCTTCGTATAGCGGTTCGGTAAGTACCGCATTCAGAACCCGGAGCAACTCCAAGAGTGAAGTGTGTTTTGACAGGACAGGCAAACGAACGAGGTGATCGGGATAGTAGATGTACCGGTTGAGCGCAGCCGGGCTAGACTTTGATATCGCGACAAGGTCTTTACCTATGTGAAGTTGTGCAAGCTAGAAAACCCACCTTAGCGACAAGGACAGAGGACTCTTCACAATTGGGCTTACCAGCTCAAGCATAGCAAGGGGCGCAGGTCCCAACCCAGCTCTTAACGTTCGTGGACCCCATTCAAAAAGGACTTCCCCCTTGTCCACTGGAACCACCTCTGAATCAACCCATCCGCCTAACCTGTCATTCTTCTCAAGTATTGTAATTTTTGCATTGGGAAGCTGGTTGCTCAAGTGGAAGGCTGTGGCGAGGCCTGTGAACCCTCCACCCAGAATGGCTATCTCTCGAGCATGCGGATTTGAGGGAGGAAGAACATCTTGACCCTCGGATTGGGGTATCCTGACCAAGCCATGGCTGGCGGATGAATGAAACGTGCGAAGGCGCAGTAGTGGCTGCCCTCGTCGCTGGAGGGCGTATTTTACGGCATTTGAGTAGGGAGCATTACAGACACCCACGCGCATATCCAGTGGATACACACCGAGCGGTGCATGCGGAAGGGCGCTTGATAGAGCTAGAGGGGAGTTGGAGGCAGGCAAGCAAATTGATGTGGGCGTCGGAGTGCAATTGAAATCAACTCTTCCAAACTTTTGGCGTGATGATGCTGAACCATCTCGGCTCAGTTGCCATAAAACTACCCCCGCTTCCACACGCTCAATGCCCACCATGTACCGAGTACCACGTTCAAGTGTTCGCCAGGCGTAGTATGGCATCCGCTGTTTTGAAGCAAGCTTCCCAACGAACCGAAATCACGGCATCGACATCGTGTCACCAGATATGCCGCTGGCGCCGCCGCAACTCATCCAGCGTCACGCCTGGGGCTGTACACAGCGCGCAAGTCTCTCCCAGTCCTGAGTCATGATGACCCTCCGTTACCCTCCGCCTCTTTCCCACATCATACGACGACTGTGGCGACTGCGGAAGCCTTGAGTTGTTTGGCGAGTTACAGGATCGCAGATAGATGCGATGATCGTTGTGGTCTAGTCCCATTTCTTCACCTTGATAACAGCGTGGACTTCAGAGATGCGTCGACAGAGGATAAATTAGCGGGCGTATTATCCAGTCAATCGATCAAGTTGGTGGAACCGTGACTTCGTTTCCAGAATCAGCTGTGGGTGCCTGCAATTCCGGACCATCGTAGCCCAATTTCTTCAGATCCCGCAGCAGCTCGCCTTCTTTTCCAATCTTCATGACCTGGTCGTGCGACAGCTTCTCGCCAGCCGCCCGCTTTTCCCTCAGTTCACGGACTGCACGTAACTTTTTCAGTTGATTGCGAATCTTCTTCTGTTGTTCCATCTCAGCGTCGGCCGCCAATGCCTCATTAGTTACCAGCTTCGTAGGATCGTGCCAGTTCTCCTTGCGCTTGTCTCTCTCCGAGATCTCAGTCTTTTGCATAGCTGAAGAAAGTCCATCTTCTGCATCCTCTGCTGACACTCCCGCGGCTGCTTTCTTGCGCGCCGCCTCCCTGCGTTTTGCATTCTTGCCCATTGTGGAAACCTCACTCTTAGTCGCCGTCACCGGCTCTGCTCCCGGGACGCCGCCTTGACCTCTGTTCTTCCATGCTTCGGCACTCCTGTTCTTGTAGGTCTCGACGTCTTCTGGCGGTCTATATCCCGGCCTCACTCTGATCTCTTTTCTGGTTGAACCATCTGCCCTTGTCGAAGACGGAATATACGAGGCACCATCTGCAGAGGTCTCTATGCCGGATTTGCTGGCTCGAGGCGTGCCAGAAGGTGGATTCGACATCGTGGAAGGCAGAGCTAGCCGCGGAAAGCGTGGTTTGGCGGCTTGTACGCGATCAGGTGGGCGTCAACATGGCGAGATTGCTGACCTCTCCAAAGGTTCCACGTACAAGCAGCCGAAGGCTTCCTGAACTAGAACGTTCGGACAGCGAAAGAAATGCGCTGCGAATAATTTCGGTGGCTTTTGTGGACCTCGCAGCAGCGGAGGGGAACATGAAAGTGAATCGACGGCTGCGTCCGGTGGATCTCCAAGCGAACCCCTCGCACCCGGTGCGTATGTATTATTTACGCCATATCCGGGCAGTTCTCTTTGTCCACGTCAGCACATCCTCGACACCGAGGTACGCCACATGCTTATATGAGAGCGGCAGACATTCACTAAAGCCTACTAAGTTGGCGACTGTCCTTTTCGACACAGCCGTTTTTCACCGACCCTCTTAGACGGATTGAGTACTTAAAGTGACGCTATCTATACTTACCCCCCTATCTAAGGCAGCGGCGGGGGCACAAAAACAGTACGAAGTGGGTATGCAGAAGAGGGATACAAGCAGTATCAAAGGTCCTTGCGAGGACGATCGCGACAACCCAAAGCAGGGCCACCGTATGCGAGACATATGTTTGGCGTCAAATGAAGCCAGGCTCTGTAAATGCACAACAGTGTTACCTTGTCTTCCATTCCAGCGTCCATAACTTTTCATTTCTCAAACAGTGATATTTTTCAAAACAGAAGGTGCCGATATTGAGGACATCATCCAAAGCTTTCAACATCATCAATCAGTCAATCCAGCACGTATAGTTTTTGTGTGATGATGAGTACCTGAAAAGGCGACAAATTAGAGAGTGTATCAAGTGACGAGCCATTTCCAAGGTACATGTACTTGCAGGGCACAGGTTGACAGCAATCTATATAATAATACTCTACTTGTGTATGTGCACAATGAGATAGGTACGTGGCACCCATGTGGTGCTCGTCGAGGTAGTTTAGTAATACGCAGTATCCCTCTGGTAGTCTACCATGCCAAGTATGCCAAGATATACATCGGCTTACCTGCCATTCGGGTCACCTGCCTTGGCCTTTGAGCTCTTTGTCGCAAGCTCTCATGAAGGACCTGTTCACAATCGACTCCGAGTTGCTAAAGAACTTGCCTCGCGTTACCCTCGTTGACAATTCCAAGCTTTAAAAAACAGCTACACGTGCAAGATGCCTGCTGTGGTGAGTTGCCGCTTCTTGGAATTTCCGGCACTGTTTAAACTCTGGCTGACGCTCGCAGTCTCAAATTTCCAGCGGCATCTTCAAGTACGATCTCCTATCCTACAACCTAATCTCTGCTCCTGCTCACTCCTTCACAGTGGCCTGATGCGGAAAAATGCCACCTGGCTGACGACCATCTTCCTTGGCGCCTTCACGTTCGAGCTGTGAGAGCCTCTCACGCGAATATTGATATCTGGAAGCTGATGAACTTCGCAGGGCATTTGAGGGTGTAACAAACTCTATATGGGACAATTGGAACAAAGGTGTACGTGCTCGATACCCTTGACCTCCTCGACTCGCAGATTCTGACTGGACACAGCGGCAATGGAAAGACATCAAACACCGATACATACAACAAGCTGAAGAAGAGGACGAGGAGTAGTTTGGACGCTACAGGGTATTTGAAGTATGGAGTCAAACTCAACAACCGTGTTCCCCAAGGGAGCGTGGAAATAAAACTCGAAAAAACTATGTACATAACAACGAAGGATGAGAACAACCCTGAAATTGAGGCCATTTTCCGCCATTTTCCAGCCTCTCTACCTTACCATTCCCTACGTTTATCGATGTGATGCAGAGAGACCGCGACTTCGCCTCAGACAGACTTCAGCAACATCAGCGTGACAACCCGTGAGCTTGCTATCGAAAGAGTATCGATGATTTTGGTGTCGCATCATGAACGGTTGGTGGCGGCATAGCTGTCCTTGGAAGGCGGCACACTCCGGATGGGGACTTGAAGGGCCTTTAGGCCTTGCTCTCTTGACTACGGCATGTGGTAGGTTTGGACAAAGTGGACAAATTTGAGCTGTTGATTTCCAGAAGGTGTAGCTCCTCTATCCCATTCCGTGACAACACCCTAAACATCAGGATATGTATAACGAGTCCCGAGCTCAACATGTCGTGTTCTCAATGTCTTCCCATCCAAGAACTCTCACTACTTCACTCCTGGGTGTGTTGTGTGATCTGAAATGACTCCCAGATTGTCACGCCGCCATACAGAGTGAGGCAGTCCGACGAGGGAGCGCTTCCATCCTTTCATCTGCATAGACTCATCTGCATAGACTGTCCGAGGACTAGGACCATGGTCTTGACATTCCCACTCACGGGTACCGACGAGTGGGAACTCAAAGCTCGACAACCAGTGAATGACTGCGTTGCGAGTTTGGGTGTTAGAAGGCTATGCGCATCCACGACATCCGAGTCCGACCCCGATCTAATCCCTTCCCATCGTCTTCCTGACATGGAGGAGGCTTTCTTGCCTCATCCAACGTATCGACGATTGGAACTTGGTGCATCTATTCGTTGGTATTTGGTATTTATCGGGCACTACCGGGTCAAAGGCCGAATGCGCTTCCCAGTCAGTCATGGAGCCATGATCGACCGACAGGCAAGATATCACAATGTTCGTTTCTCGTCATGGAAATTCGGAGCAGAGTTACTCACTAGACCTTGGCCCCCGCAAGACTGCGGCCGCGAGTTCTCCTCCCGTCTGGATGTCTCGCGGTCGCCATGCACACGAGCTTCTCGGAGTTGGCAACCCCCCGGGGGGAGGGGGGTGTCTATCGGCGGGTTATCACCAGACCATTAGTGAGCGCTACATTCGGCTGTGGCGTCTTTCAGCCCGGCCTGTCCGCTACGAAAAGACGGGATCACGATCTGGCCCATGTGGCCACACTCCAATGTCGACGAAAAAAGCTCCCTGGGGTAGTATGTTCGGGTTTTGTCTAGAAACATAACATAGGGTTTTGTCATTGCTGCATGCTCGTTCAGAACAGCGCTTTCTACCATGTACGAAAGAAAAACAGCGAGATCTGAGAACCTGGTACGAAGGTACATATAATACCTCGCGTGCTCGCACACCTGCGCAGTTCCAAAAGGGGTTAGCTCCGACAGAGCGCCGGGGTTTGCCAATGAGAACCAGTGAATGGACCCGCTCCGTCGTCGCCTGATTCCCCTTCATTGATCTGATTCGTCCCGGCCACATCTGGGCAGAGGTGCGAGGGCCTCACACCTCTGCCCATTAATGACAAGGTCCATTCTTCCGGTATCCCTTCCCCATCAAGAGTGTTCGTTCAACCTACTACTTACCTCGCCTCGCGTTCGCGTTACTGCAAAACGTTCAGTCCCCCAACGTCTGCCCCTCCCGACTCGAGGCTCCATCCAACCTCCGTAACCCCCCTTGACCTGCGGTGTTACAGAGAACAGCTCCGTGAAGCTCCTTGTGTCTGGTGTTTGAGAGCATGATCAAGGGAGCCTGCGATGCCTGTGAGGGTCGGGGTATTTGCATTGTATGCCCTTCATCTGACAGAAATAGCAGGGGTCTTGTTCGTCGCATATAGTTCTGCTCAGTGAACAGTTGTCGCAAGGTACTTTTTGAAAGGTCAGCAGCCAGCATTTTTGGAGGATGCAGGTATAGGGGGTCAACTAAGAACAAAGCGTACATTTGCGGTTCCCTCTTTCGTGAGCCGGCTCTCCGTCCATCACCGACCGGTCGAATACGCACTGTTCATTTGCCTGCCGGCAAGCGGAGCAGTTGAGCCTGCGGTCACAGAGAATTTTGTTTTCGTGGCACCGCCTGCAAGGGTCTGCCGCTGGTCAGTACACACGGACATCGTCACAAAAACAAAAGCTTACATTTGATGACCTTGGACGCTCCCGCAGGCGTCACCTGCGTGTCCCAAACACACTCAATGTCAAGTTTCGTGCAATAGGCACAGGGCTGCCCTTGGGGACATATTCGTCGAGCTCTTTTGCATGGCACGCAATATGGAAGGCCTTCTCGCTTTTTTCGGGCCGATAAGTTAGGATAGATACCAGAGCCAGCTTGGGAGGGACCAGCTTGGGAGGGACCAAGGCGGGAAGGACCAGCTTCGGCCGGACCAGGGCGGGATGGGCCAGCTTGGGAGGGACCAGCTTGGGAGGGACCAGGAGCCGAGTGTGGATTCGAAGAAGATGGTCCACCGTGTGGTAGTGCTGGATTGCTGCTACTCGCAGGCGCTGTGGCCTGAAGAGGAGGGTTTTCTTGGCCCTGGGGATTCTGTAAGCCGCCATGGGCCGGGGGACTTTGTGCCGGAGAAGGGGAGGCATTGTGAATCGATGTGAGCTGAGCATCGTCATTCGGCTGATCCATGGGGGACTCCTGCGCTGGAGCTGAAGGAGCTGCTGGATGAGGAGGAATAGGAGGCGGCGGCTGATGGTGAAGATTCGTACCGCCGCCGCCGGCCCAGCCAGCCAGAGAAGAATGGCTACTCTGGGGGACCTCCTGGCTCTGGGCGTGCTGAGGTGTCGCAGGAGGAGGTTGGTAGGGAAGATTCGTATTTCCGCCTCCGTCCCAGTTAGCTAAAGAAGAATCGCTACTTCGGGGAATCTCGTGGCTCTGGGCGTGCTGAGGTGTCGTAGGAGGGGGTCGGTAGGGAAGATTCGCATTTCCGCCTCCGTCCCAGTTAGCTAAAGAAGAATCGCTGCTTCGGGGAATCTCATGGCTCTGGGCGTGCTGAGGTGTCGTAGGAGGAGGTGGTTGATGGCGAGGATTCGCATTTCCGCCTCCGTCCCAGTTAGCTAGAGAAGAATCGCTGCTTCGAGGAATCTCGTGGCTCTGGGCGTGCTGAGGTATCGTAGGAGGAGGTGGTTGATGGCGAGGATTCGTATTTCCGCCTCCGTCCCAGTTAGCTAGAGAAGAATCGCTGCTTCGGGGAATCTCGTGGCTCTGGGCGTGTGTGGGCGGAGTAGGAGGAGGAGGGTGATGGGGGAGATTTTGCTGGTGGCCACCAGCTTTCTGATCTTTTATAGCTTGTTAGCATACGAATGCACAGTGTAGATCATACAAGTTCCCTTACCACTCATGGTGCTATAGAGTCTGCAGACAAGGCTGCAGCATACGTGTTCAAGAGACCCCGAGTGCCTCTGACAAGTACAGTGTGAAGAAAGCAATTGCCTTGCTCAGGGTCAATACTGATACATTTATACCGTTCCATAGAGCATCCCTTTAGCTACTGGCGCTCTCATTGTACCCATTTATAGTAGATGAACATCATTAGACACCCGCGGCCGCATATACCGAGACTGTGGTCTATATAAGTCCACATCTAAGGAAATGCGGCCCCCATTTGCACCTGTAGGGTCGAGGCGTACCAATCAATAGGCTACCTTCCCGTTTCGGCTAGCATACTGGGTGAGCCCTAGAACTTCCTGGTCAAGTCCCGGTCCACTCAAGACTTCTATCTCTAACTATTGCTGCTCATATGATGACAGAGTCGTACGGTTCCGAAATAGGTATAATCCACACAGGTGGGAGAGTAGGCGCAGGACGTGAGTGCCCAGGGCGAGAAGAGGATTTAATCTAGACTATTCTCATGCGCTTTGGACAGTTTCCTTGGGGTGTTACTTTCCGTTCAAGAATCAGCGATTGATTTGTACCTCAGAGCCGTCCACGCATATACGACGCTTTTACGAGCCGCCCCTGTACCCTTCCAAGTTGTTACAACATGGCAGACTACGAAGAGTCATACCAAACGATCGATGAACTGGAAGAGCAGCTCGAAGATGCCATAGATGAATACATCAAGGCTCATGATGACCCAGGTCAGTGCACGTGGTGAATTCCTGGAGCGACTTGATGTGCTCATTTTAACATGTACAGGAGAGGACAAGGACGAAGCCGAACGACACATGGCTCTGCATCACCACAGCAAAGCAATCGCCTACACCGCGCAGGAGATTCTCACCCATGATCCCAGCCATTTGGAGGCGCAGAAGTTTCTAGCGGTCTTTTCGTTGTCGCTCAACGGACAGTTTCAACCACATCACTATAGGGCGCTGGGATTGGTAGAGGAAGATTCGGACCTTGAAGAGCTCGATCACCATCCGTGGAAGAGCGAATATCTCCCGGACGAGGACCACTCACACCTTCTTAATGCAGAGGATGAGCCGATAGACGCCCAGCATGATGATCACCACCACCACCACAATGACAATGGCGAGATTGATACTCATGCTGATTCTCACAGCTTGAACGACGGCGACCATGCACATGAGGAATGTGACTTTGAGAAGGTCCAAGAACATGACGGGGACGAGGAGACTATGGGAGGTGATGACGACGAGCAGGGTCAGTATAGTGGCGACGAGGGTCAGTATGGTGATTTTGACGGCGAGTACGCCAACCATGAAAGCCACTGCGACGGCGATGAGGACCAGTATTATGGTGATGACGGCGACGACGCCGGTCATGAGGGCCACTGGTATAGCGACGAGGGCCACTATAGTGGCGATGATCAAGCTCGAGGGCACATCTGGGCCCCCGATGAACTGTGCTCGTCATGAAGCTAGAACAATGCGCATAACGACCTAACCTAACCTAAGCACTGTAGTCTCGCCATATCATCCAAGAACACGTAGCAATATCCACAGGATGCAGCTGGACATATCTGGGATGCTCGTCCTTGTAGGACACAATAACATTTGCAGTAACAGCGAGGGAGATCCAAAGAGGATGGGGATCGGGGCGCTGGTCAATATCACGGCCAGTGAGGAAGACGAGATCGCGCCGCCCTGAAGAGTCTGACTCGACGGAAAGGGAAGGTACCTTGTGTCGAGCTAGCATTCTATTAGTCCCTGTCGGGTCGTTGACACACAAAATAGTCTCCTGAACCCCGCCACGCCCGTGGCACGCCTGGTCTCCAAGATCGCGCCTGCCAAGGTTACTTCATCGTGCGACAAAGCCTCCTGACACGCCTCTTAAACGCCACTAGTTCAAGTCGCCTCAGGTTGTCAGCAAGTACTTGGTAGAAAGAGGGAAGAAGTGGCTCGAAGCTGACCATAGTAACCAGGTAGGTGGACGAGTTCGCACAAGGGTTGATGATATACAAAGTGATCCCTTCGTAGCTGCTATTGAAAGTAGCAGCGGGAATTCTCATGAATATATCTCCTTTGGTACCTATGTAGATATTGAGAAGTTCTCGGATGTATAGCCTGAGCGGGGCAGACTAAGCTAGTCTGGAAGCGTATAAATACCGGCGCCGCCTTTGCGTGTCAAGTGGTTTTAGCCTAACCTGCTCTCCGCCCTGTGCTGAGACAGTCTCTCATCCCTCTCTACTACAAGTCCCCGTAGATATGCACGGTATGTCAGTGTCGGGGTTTCGTCCTCTCGCAACCTCGAGGGTGAGATAAGGGGTATACGAATACGAGTGAGCTCCAGCATGTATAGGGCGGCGTCACTCTCGTCCCCAAAGGAGGGTGAGCCCGGAGCAGTTTTTCCGCCCAGATGAGTCTTGGCGCTGTACCGAGTTAGCACGTTGGCATGTTAGTCTCATAGTAAACCGCATCGAAGCGTTCGTCACGCTTCCTTCCCCTGCGCCAAATTGTCTCCTTCTTTTCCTTGCGTCATTCGATTTTCTCGTGATCCCATATTCTCCGACCCCCGATCACGCTGGGTGAGTACCTAGAGTACCGAACTCGCCGAGTACAGATTGATCCATTCAGCCCGTAACGGTCGCATAACGCTCCCGCCCTCGTCATCAGGTGGCTGCGATTCCTCAGAGTCCCTAGCCCTCCGACGGTACCCGTTCTCTACCTTCACGTCTGGCCTCTGCATGTCCCAATGTCGGCAACGGCCAACACGAAACCCTCGTCATGACCACGCCGTCCTCGAGCCTGGACCGTCAACTCCGCCAGGCCCTCTGCGACCATCCCCGGCAGCATGACTATCGCTACAGCGCCAGTGCAAGCAACAGCCTCCTAGAAATCCTTTTTCGCGCCCTGACCAATGACCGAGCCGATTACCTGCACGACCTCTTCCCAGAGGGCTTCCCTGCCTCATACAAGCTGCAAGACGCACAGGGAGTACAAGAGAACGCCGAGTATAGTGCAGCAGCCAGAGGCCATCCATGTGGGCACATTTTCAAACCAGGAGAGGCCAGCTACCACTGTAGCACCTGCACCGACGACACGACCGCCGTCCTTTGTTCCCGTTGTTTCGTTGCAAGCGACCATGAAGGCCACCAGTATACCGTCAATGTCAGTGCTGGAAATAGTGGATGTTGCGATTGCGGGGATGATGAGGCGTGGAAGAGATCGGTGAAATGTGCCATTCATACCGCAAGTGACGACTGGGCAACAACCGATGAGCACGTCTCTCCATTGCCAGGAGATTTGCAAGAGTCTATTCGCAGTACCATTGGCACAGTTTTGGACTACTTTTGTGATGTTATATCTTGTTCTCCCGAGAATCTGCGCTTACCCAAGACGGTGGAGTCGGTGACCCAAGACGAGGTGAAAAGTCGGCTGTCCGCAGAGCATTATGTGTCGGGAGATGAAGTCGAAACCAATCCTGATTACTGCTTGATCATCTGGAATGACGAGAAGCACACTGTACGTGAGGTACAGTCGCAAGTGGCCCGAGCGTGTCATCAACGCGAGGCGTTCGGTCTGGCCAAAGCCGAAGAGGCCAATGACATTGGCAGAAGTCTGATCAGGCACTCTCGTGATCTCAAAGAGCTCACCAGAATGGCCAAGATTATCGAAGAAATCAAAGTTACTGTCACCATCAGGTCATCCAGAGACACCTTCCGGGAACAGATGTGTGGTACAATCATCGAATGGCTTGCCGATATCGCGGGTTCCAGCATCGCGGGGGACAGCCATATCCTACGGCGGGTCATTTGCGAGGAGATGCTCCAGATATGGAGGATCGGAAGTGAGGCGTGGAACGCCAAAGTGGGAAGAGAAGATCTGGATGATCATGGCGACGAGGACGATCGCGACTACAGAAGGAGGACAAGACTACGCCTTTTCGATCCCATTCAATTCGCAATGCAACGCGCCATGGCGGGGGAAATCCTGGATGAGGATGAAGCCAGTGACGGCAACGAGACCGGGGAAGTGGACGATGACGAAGAGGATGAGGATGAAGACGACAACGAACTAGTCGACGTCGATGATCGGGAAATGAACGATCTGATCCTCACGGCTACCGTCTTCGACGCGTCGCATCGCTTGGATCTCCTGGCCGAACAAGCAGGCGACGCAGATGTTACAGACGACGCCGAGGAGATGGACACGGACGGTGACGGAGATTTCTTGGATATCGC